ACCGATTTTTGGTCCAATTGTAGGCTTAGTTTAGATTTTCCCCCTAGGGCTTTTTCCTCAAAAGCCAACAATTGGACCAAAAATCGGTCCAAAAGAGAAAAGACTAGCGTTGTATAAGTAGTCTGGTGTGGTTTACAAGATGAACGAATCAAAAAAATTTTGGACGGAAAAAGCTTTTACCGTGTAAAATCTGGTTTCCTAGAAAACGGGGTCTCAAAGCTCATATTAGTCGCTCTCGCGTCGATATTCGGATTCAGCACCAAAAAATAACCTATAGTCCACTATGTTTCAAGCCCCTAGCGATTTTACAGTTAGATATAGAGAAATAAAGTACCTCCGCCACTACTTTTGGGTTATCCTAAGTGTATTTCGAGTAAAAAGTGATTTAAAACTTGGTGAAATTCTCTTTCGTAAGAAATAATGGTCATGAAGGCTAAGTCTGCATATTACTTTGTCTATATTCTTCTCGTGCTGTACTAATTTTTGTCTTTGTTTCTTCTGCAATCACAACTTTTTCTTTAACTTCTGTGGCTATACGTTTATTTGCATTGAGTACTTCTACTAACGATAAATCGTCCAACACTGAACCCTCAATACTCGTCAATTTAGCCAATAAACTTTCTTCCAATTCTATTAATAGACGTTTATTTTTTGTCGTCTCTTTTGCCAATGTCACTCGTTCACGTTCAAGTTCCTATAAGATATCACAAAAAAATCAACATTTAGTTTTCGAAAACTATTTTATCATTCTTCTTCTTCTTTCTTACCGCTCTTTCGTTGGCAATAACCAGACCAAGTAATTGATCTTCCAAACCTTTCATCGTTACTGTGAAATCAATAACAGAAACATATGCACAAATTTCTGGTGAATAGTTTGGATTTGGTAATTTGGTAGTGATATACAAACGAAATGAATGATTAATATCAATTTCCCGATCACCAACTTTGACCTAAATGATCACAATATTTCAAAAATATGCTTTATAGAAACGAGGAAACATTTTACTTTTAGACTAAGTCCAATTTTAACATAATTTTTTTCTAATACATTATCTAACAATGGATCCAATTCTTCTCCGACATCTTCGATTAGCAATGGACGTCCAAGAGATATGGAATCTTCTAATTGTGTACGAAACATTTTAACATTTAACGTAGTCACTAGAAGATCATTGTCTTTTTCTAAATGTTTAATCCATGTTTTTCCTTGTAATTGAGGATCAATCAGTAGTGGATAACGATAATTTGATGTGGCTATTATTCCGTTTTGTGTAGATAAGTCATCAGTCGGTAGTCCTTGTAAATTCCATTCGCCTATCTAAAAATATTGGCTTTAATGATAATGATAATGTTCAATTTCTTGATCATGTCATGTTTCCTACCGTTGCTTCATCAGTTAACTGTTCAATAATATTAAAGGCTTCACTATAAGGAATATTTCTCGATTGTAACTGTTTTTGCCATTCGTTTAACATTCGTTGACGATATTCTTGATTAAGTGGTCCACAATAGGATAAAAATGCCGTAACTAATATAGTATTGCCCACTAGTCTAAAAATGTCATTTTTCATTGTTGAATTAAAAAATATTAACCACGTGGTTATTACTTTTCAACACTTTTTTCAAATGATTTCGATTGTTCACTCCAACGAATTTTTTCACCAGTTAATCCACTAATTAAGCTTTTGGCATCATCACGACGTCTCAATAACGTATCATAGTCAGCTTGAAATGCCTTTATAATGGAACAAGTTGAAATGTTCATTTATGCAAATATAAGATAATATGTCAAAGAGTTACCTGTTTAGTTTGCATTGCTGCGTCAAAATCTTCTTGACATTTTCTTAAACCAGCTTTAGTCTCTTCTAAATCTCTTTCTGCTCGGCTTAATTTCTTCGTTGCTTTTCTCAACGAATTTTCCGCTTTCTGTACACGATCCTATAGAAAAACTAAGTCAGTTTTTATTGTAAAAAATGAAGAAAACTTACTTTTATTGGTATAACTGTTTTGTTCACCTGATGATAAGCTTGCATTTTATCAGCCCAAACCGTCAATGTTGCTAAATCATGAAACGCTTTTCTGGCTCTATCTTGTAAATTTTCTATATTCATATACGGTTTCAACAATTCAACAATTTCATCATTCAAATCTCGAATTGATGTTAAAACACCAAGTAAATTTGGCCACGTAAGCAGTTTATTAATATCAGCATAAGATGCTAAATATTGGATAAAGAAAAATGACAATAAAATATTGAAAATTAGCCAAAGAAAATCATACGTGTATAAAACGGTGATCCACTTTTAGCGTCTTTTGATGTATAATTAAGTCGTATAGGTTCAATGTGACGTTTCATTAATATTAATGCCATATCCATGACAATTGAAATTGCCTCAGGTGGTTGTGAGAGCTTACGTAAATTGTCAATATTATTTCTGTTAATATTCTAGATACGTTAGAAAAAAATACTGAAGAAATACCGTTATGAGATATTACTGTTAGATTTTGAGGTTATTAACATCATTCTGAGAACGATGGAATGAAATGAGAGAATAAAAGTCAAAATGTTAGAATATAATTAAGAAATCAATCACTTTTTCCACTGCTTCATAATAAATAATGGTCTTAACTAGTGAACAATGTGGGATATGGAAAGTTGACTGATCAGTTTTCGATGAGTTGATAATTGAGCAAACATTCATAGAGATCATAATAATCTGTATTCGAGATGTGCACCCAAAAACGCAAAAGGACAAAAAAATAACACATTTATACCACAAAATTCTCTGTTGTCGAACTTCGTTTTAATTTCATTTTGTTCTTTGTCTTTATCCTTCTTTAGAGTATTCATTCTTATAATCACTGCTTATGATAGAAATTTATATTGAACTATACTTAAGCGTAAAACAATAGGTTTTATAGGAAAAACATAAGTAACTGAATTTTTGGACTCCATTTAATCATACGCCCAGAACAATAGAAATTCCATTATTCTGGGAAATATTTGTTTCATCTGTTCAGAAGAGAAATGTAAATGGAATATTGAATATTTACGCTATTGTTCATAATATCGAGTAGCCCAGAAAAAGTCGGACACTTTCATTCGTTGTTTTTGAGGCACTGTCCAGTGGTCCTAAGAGTTTCTTCCAAGCTCAATCGATAGAGAATTGAATTCTCTACAAAACTTGCTATTTGAATTTCTAGCATTTTTCTCGTTTGAGCACCACTGAAAATATTGGTGAAAAAAGGGTGCTAAGTTGTCATTTGCGAGAAGCAATTTGACGTCTCAAGCAACCATTTGTCGTCTCCTTTTTTGAGATTTTTAGCCCATTATCTGAGATTCAATCGTTAACTTATCTACACAGATGGATAGAGAATTTTGTGTTCTATCGATCTCACTTCTTTGCAACTTCATACAATGTTTTTGCTACGCCAGCTGGACTTATAATTAACTCTCAACCGGCTTTTCAATTATTTCAAATTAAATTAATTTTATTAATTAATGGTTTCAATTGAGAAACTTTGTTTATATATCAAACGATGCCGAATTTAATTCTGTGTAAGATAATAAGACTAAAATCCTGGATTTAGAACGTTTTACTGCTTTTATAGTAAAAAAACTAAAGTTTGTGAAAAAAAGGTTCAAAAGTTAGGGTTTTTTTAGACTTTTTTGGATTCAGTTTTTTGTACAGAGAAATTTTGCTAGACGACTTAACTGTAAAATTTTCAAATATATGTGAGAAGATGCAGAATTTTCCAGTGAATCTTCTGATTTTTTCGAAATTCTTATAAAATCTGTTTTTCGATCAAGGCAAATATTTTTCTATTTTCAGTGGATCGCAGTTCGAGAACTAAGCACTCTTCAATATTTTGAATGGTGCTCAAAGGCGAAAAATGCTATCAGAGATGCAAATAGCAGATTTTATAGAGAATTCAATTCTTTATCGACTGAGTTGAGAATAAACTCTTTGGACTACTGGACCATGCCTCAAAAACAACGAATAAAAATGTCCGATTTTATCTGGGCCATCCGATATCATAGCATACTGACATTTTTTTCGACCAGCGTTGTCTGGATATATGAAACAAATACTTCACAGAACAATGAATATGTCAGTTCAATACATCTATAATTTGCTTAACATGAATCGAAATGTGTAATCGAAAGATGGTTTAGGAAATAAATGGTTTTTATCGAACAGTGATCGTCATAGCAGTCTTCTCTGATCTATGTCTTCTGACAGAATTAGTGACATTAGTAAAATTTAAAAAATCCGACTCGCACTCGACAACTTCGTACTCGTATCCAACTTTTGGGTCGGATTGCACATCTCTAATCTGTATCATACTATGTTAATATTATCTTATTAAAAGTGTATTTGTGTACCTCAACGCCTTTCAACAACGTCCGAATTTTAAAATTTTGTTATTTTAACATATATTTACAAAAAGATTATTTGACTAACAATAGAATGTAATCTAATCTTTATATTTTTCCTACTTTTAAGTTACCTTTTGTCAAGGACAAAATAGTTAGAGTATAAATAAAGAACAACAGTAAGCATATTATCACAATTACAGTTACATCATCAAAAATAAAAATCATGTTAAAATTAATATGTTTAAGTATTTTATTTATTGTCACATGCAATGGTATGCCTGGTGGTTATAAAGATCGACCAGAACTGTTGAATGATCCCATTATACATTCACTTACTAGTTTTGGTGTTGAAAAATTATTCGAAAGTCAAAATTTAAAATTAACAAATGTAAAAGTAACACGTGTACAAACACAACTGGTTGCTGGTACAAATTATAAAATTGACTTTACGGCTAAATCAGTTCGTACTGAAGCACAAACAACATGTCAAATGGTTATTTTTGTCAAACTCGATGGTCAACGAACATTATCACAATCACAATGTCAATAATCGTAAATATAAGTATGGAATTATTTCAACAGAAAAAAACAATTATTTAAGACTAAATATAGTTAGTCATTTTTTAAATTCACAATTGTATTAAATAAAGATTTTATTTGAATTTTAAACACCATATCAACAAATATTGTCTTGTCTTCACACTTTTAACAGTAGGATTCTTCTCAGTCTGTATTAGTAAAAGAGTTTTATTACAGATCTTTACTTACTCGTAGTGCTTCTTCGGCTTGTTTAAGAATAATGTCTGCTGTCGATAATTCTTCTTGTGCGATCGCTTTTTCTTCATTGACTTGTTGTACAAGAATTGTGGCTTGTTCTTTTGATTCAGCTACTTCTTCTTTTTTGATTTCAGCTTCTTGACGCAATATTTCCATTTCAGCTACTTGCTTTAAAATAGAGACGACGAAAAGTCATTTCAACTTATAGAATCTATAATTACAAACTTTTGATGCTTCTGTATTAGCTGTAGCAACATCTTTTTCTTTAATAATTAATTCTTGTGTAATTTCTTGAACTTGAATAGCGGCTTCGTATAACTTCGATACACCTAAATTTGTATATTTAAAATAATAGTTCATTAGTTTTTTCTACTATATACCAGTTTTCATTTTTTCTTTTTCTTTTTCAAAATAAGAACGTTGTTTTTCATAATATTTTTTAAATGCATTAATGAAGGATAAAAATGATTTAGACGTTATGTAGGTTCTTCGGCGAAATTTATCATAGTAAGCGTCGTATATACGTCCCACATCATCATGAATATCAGCCATTAATTCAATAACAGAATTTTTAATTATGGACGTCGTTGTTATATTAAATCGATTTAAATATGAATAAGATACAGCTGCCAAAGCATCTAATGGCCACCGGTGAAACCAATCAATGGTACAACCAGAAACTAGTGTAGGAAATTTTAATGCACGTTCACGAAATTTTTTATTATCCGGTGAAAAACAAAGTACAATATGAAGATTTTTTCTCAAGCGTTCACTATAATATAATTGTAAATTTTCTTGTGTTATTGGTCGTTTGGGATATTCTTTTTTCATTTTAATTGATAATTCACTCAACGTTTCATCCATTTCTTCACGTGTAATTAAACCCGATATCTAGATATGATGAAAAATCTGTTATTTGTCTCCTTGAAAAAATTATTCCTTATCATTTTTCATCACTAGTTCAATGAAGGCCATTCGCTTTGTTTCTCAAATTTTTCGTACGATGTCAAAGACCTTGATCAAAGCCCATACATAGTAAGATAGAGAATTTTCCACGCTTCAAAATGAACTACGATATTTTTTTTAAAAGTTTGTCTTCATGACTTTCATACAAGAAAATGCAGAAAATAACGAGCTTTAAATTGAAATATATTAGATTCTTGTAAACGTATGTCTTTATACATTTCTGCACTAAATACTATATAAGTATGATGATTGTTGCTCAAAATACGTGACAAAAGTATGAGCTTTTTCTTTTTTTGACTTTTTTTGTCAACCACGCCAGCTAAAAGAATACTAAAGAAGGCTTTGAGCAGTTGAAACATTTTACTATCAGATGAGACATATACAAACACTTCCTCGAAATGTTTAAAAATCAGGATTCCGAAAAATATAAAGTCCTACTTTCAGGTATCCTGGCTTCTATCGATAGTTTTGTGCCACTAGTTCATTTAAATAAAGTAAACATTCCTCAGGAAAATGAAACGTCTCCGAGCTCTCCACAACATACTTTCATTAAGCTGCATTATATTTACGAAAAGCGCCAGAGATATTTCTGTTGCTTTTTGTAGATTTTGCTGATTTCCTATTCGTTTGGTACTTTGCCAATAAGTCTATTAAACTTACGATTTCAGAACAACGTACTATAGCTTATTTTGTAGCTCTCTCAAATCTACATTTTTCTAAATACAAACTATTCCTAATTTCTATTTGTGACTATAATCATTTTTATATATCGCTATAGGTAAAAATCGAGATCCAGTATTTAGCCAATAAATCTATGAAAGCAAACTTAAAAAAAAAATACCGTAGTTCATTTTGAAAAAATTCTGTCTTACTATGTATAGGCTTTGATCAAGGTCTTTGACATCGTACGAAAAATTTGAGAAACAAAGTGAACGGCCTTCGTTGAACTGGTGACGAAAAATGATAAGAAATAATTTTTCAAGGAGATCAGAAGCAATTCTTGAAAGTCAGAAGTGTTGGGAAGTGACAAGGGAAGCATTTCTGCTCGTTTTCACTCAAAATATTATATTAGGCCATTTTCTAACAGAAACCGTTTCCCGTCCTTTCATATCTCACAATATATTTATACCTCGCCAGATGATAAAACATTATTCAAATATTCAAGAAATTGATCATCTTTTATATCATTATCGGTAAATATAAATACGATGCCCTGTCCAAGACGACCTATGTAATAAATCATTAGTTAGAATACAATCTTTACAAATTGACGAGATTAGAGTGCAGTGTGAAAATAGAAGCTTAAAAAAGTTAGTCAACTTTTACCAGCACGACGATAAATATTTCGAAGATCGTCGAGAAAATTATTCATTGTGTACGATCTATACATACCAAAACGTTATCATCAATTTCAGGAAAGATAGGAAAATATGGATCAATACCTTGACAGAGTTATTTGAAAATATTTATAGCCTAAAATGAGTCAAATAGTCATTTCTCTTAATTTCTATTATATTACGATAATATCTTTTTTATCACTCACCAGCAATATAAGCAGCCAGCTATAAAAGATGAGGAACATAAAGATGCACAATAATAGTGAAAGTAACGTGTGAATTGTTCATTATTACAAACTATGTTCACCCATATTATCTCTTCGATAAAAAAGTTGAAGGGAAGCTCGTTCGATTCGAACTCTTTGAGTTCCATTTTATATTTTCAAAGGAAATCTAGCACATATTGTCATTATTGAGTCTCATTGGTGCCTGGCAATTAGTCAAAGATGTTGACTCATAAGCATCCTTCCATTACGGGTTCAGCAAGTTAGAGATCAAAGTTACCAGTACTTTTATTCTGTATTATAAAAAGTAATAGTGTAAACTTGGATATATAGAAACGGTAAACTCATGATGAAAGAAAGAAATCTGGCTGAAATCTTGCTTGTAACTACTAATGGATTGGTTTTTCATGGGCTTTTGGTAAAAATATCAAAGCTTCATATAATTTCTGTTTCTTATTTAACTCTGAGCGGTCCATTACTTACAGTCTAGAAATTTAGCAAGTTACAGCGAGCGCTATGTATCTTTTATATTAAAGTGGAAATATTGCATTAAACTGCTTATTCACTTTTTGTGCACAAAGAACATTCTCCAAAAATGTATTTCAATAATCTATCAAGCAATTTTAGACACGGGCAATGACGCGACATTGTAACAACAATTAAACCATTTCAGTGTTTTGAATATTATGACAGATTTACGCACAATATTATTTCGCGTACACAGTTTTGTAGAGAATTGGATTTTCTGTCGAACGAGCTTCCTTGCAAGTTTTTACCGTAGAGATAATATGGAGGAACATGCTTTATAATAGTGCGTAGCTATATATGATTCATGCGTTAGACACGTACTTTGGTTAGTGATTGCTTTCCAGACCCACCAACGCCAACCTAGAAAAGGGAGAAAAATAAAAGAACTGAGTAGAAATCACACCATTTTCTTAATTACCAGCAACGCATGCCCTTTTGGCATATTTATAATTCGTGATATCTATGAAAAACATACATGTATAATGATTTTCAATATCCATAATATTAAAATACATACTCGTAATAAATGTATCATTGCATCTTTAAAAAACACTAAATCCATATTGAGACCACGTGTCTCGTCGTTCATCTTATTCTGATTTGCAATCAATTTTATCTGTAATTCTTCCCACGAAGATATCTAAAAGTTATTATATACATCTTTTAGCAACATACTAAACTTTTAATTAACTGTTTTTATTACTAACTGGTTCATAAATTTTTGACTGTAATTCTGATAAATCAATATCTTCTACCATTTCATCTGTTACTTCTAATTCTTCTCTTAGAAAATTAGCAAAATACAAGTCTTCTGTTAATAATTTCTCACCAAATGTTTGTTTTACAATTCTTTGTAATTCTTTATTAAACCAATCACGTTCTATATTTACTACAAGACGATCCGCTAAAACTCGAGTACATTCATATTTCCAAAGATATAAAAATTGCTCGATTGTTTGACACTGTTCGTGTTCGATTTGTAAAATACCCTCCCATATTCGAGATAAATCTCGAAGATTGAATACATAATGAAATTTGGCAGGCCTAACAATATATTCAGATATACATGACAGATATATGTGAAAAAAAGGCATTTTTTGTACGCACGTTGGCAACAGTTTTATTTTAACTGATTGCCATAATAGACGCGTTGCTAATATGGCCTTTTCAACTGTTACTATAACCGATTCAGGAAAATTTCGTTCCATACAAAAATATTTAGATATTGCACCAAATATTTGATCAACAGCATTATTTGATGGTAGTGTACAATTAAATATAGAAAAGTGACGTTTCAATCGTTCGGATATATCGTTCCGACCACCATCTTTAACAAAATAAATTATTCTCTACTAGATAATACGATAGAACCAATTCTTACCTGGATGGCTCATGGCAGCTAGAAATTGTAAATCGACAATACTAAAAAAATCACCAGGTTTCACCAGGCTATAAAATCCTTTTTGTTCCATTAATTGACGTAATATTTCATTCGCTTCTTGATCACCCCAACTATTAATATGTGGCATATTGATGTCATCAATAAATATTGTCATTTTTCGTCCAAAAGATGGTCCAAATGTATTAGCAACGCGTTTATCAACAAAACTTTCAATCATCTTTTGAATATGGCCACACGTTGTTATTGATGAAAAATTCACTATACGTGTCAAATGTTGTTCAGGATCATAGTGTTTCAAATAACTTGTGATAATTACAGTTTTAGCCGTACCCGGTTCACCAATCAATAATACAGCTTTACCTTATTGAAACAGATAAATATAAAAGCAATTCAGAAAAATGTAAATAAATTACACCATACCCTGTTTTGAGAGTATATCGATTAAAAATGTTGTTCGAACATTATCTACATTTGGTACCAAAATGGATGCAAATTCAATTTTTTCATCCTTTGGATATTGCCATGATTCAACCTATAAACAATAGTCTTTTACTATGTCAATATTGAGAGATGTAAAACAGAAAACACTTTTTGTATCCAATGTTCCCATTGTCCAGCATCGTTAACATAATAGTCGAACATTGAATCACCAGATGGAATATTTTTTGGTATATCTGTTGCACTTTTTCCTTGAAAATATTGTTCGAATTTTTGACGATCATTCAACTCGAGCAAGGCACCAAAACTGAAAAAAAAGTGAAACGTTAATCAACAAAAAATACTATCAATTGAACAAAAAAAAATTCTGTGCAATACCTCCACATCATCGTAAATATTGTTAATCGTTCTAAATATGTGGTCGTATAAAAATCTATCTCTGAACTCAATAAACCCTCTAATAAATCGATTATCTGTTTAATATAATTACATTCATAAACACGCATTTTTGGTACACATTTTGTTATTAACAATTTATAACATTCATCAAAATGTTTTTCTAATATAGTTGTAATTGATATTCTTATTCCTGGTAATTGTCTATTTGCCCACGCTTGAAATATTGGTCTCCATGGTAATACAGTTGATGACATAAATATCATACCACATCGTGAAACAGTAGCAGGTGATGCATTATCAATGTTATGTACTTCGAAGATAAGTTTTACACTAGGAGCCATTGAAATACGATCACCATTGGCCAATGTTAATAATTTATTATCGTCAAGAACAGAATTCAAATTTTCAATCCAAATAGCATCGACAGGTCCATCCAAAATAATCCACCATGCTTCATCTATAAAAACAACATGTACACTTTATATTTCATTAATTATCATTAGACAAGAAAAAAGAGACTTACGAACGTCTGTATTTGATGTCACCCCATACGCTTTTAACGTTCGTCTCCATAAAGTTGAAAATATACCATCGGTCCAATCATTTGTCGCTACATCAAGAATTCCAAACATTTGTGAGGCTGTTATCGATTTTGGATTCATTTTACAATCTTTAGTATTTATACCCATCATACTTAGAGCACCTACACACAAATATATTTTATTACTGTTAGAATAATTGAGATCTGATAAATACAAAACGAACCCATTAGAACCGTCAGACATTTAGTCTTGCCAGCTCCACTTGGACCCAACACCATAATTCCATGTCGAACACGTTGTGTTTCAAAGAGCTAATAAAGAAATAAGAAAAAAGTAATCTAATCTAATTAATAATAATGATGAATATTTACTTGAATAACTTTTAAATTCCAATCGGGATAATTTATCAAACCTTCTTCATTCACCTTTATGTCAATACATTTTTGCAAATCTTCATACTTTTCTTTATCAAGTTTAATATCCGGAAATAAATCATCAAGTAATGACATAAACAATGGTTCATCTTCATCAATCTAATCAAAATTATTTTTATTAAAAAATAACCTAAATTATTTCATTCTATTAAACGAAACTTACTAATTTTGATAAATTCATATCACGTAGAACGCGCATAACAGTGGTGTCCTCTGGATCTTTGGGACGAGCACGTTTTACCGTTCCTAATGTTCGTAATACAGCTGTTGCATTACGAAGACCAAATTCATAGTGAACCTAGAGAATAAAATAAATTTTGTAACAAAATGTTAATCTTTAAAATGTATATTTTATACCTGTTTACTTAACTGATTTTCACAACATTTATAAAGTACATAAAATTTTTGTGCTAAAATTGTATTCTCAAGAAAACCACTACTAGCCAGTTTTACACGCATGATAATTTGTCTATCGGGTACCATCATGGCAACGCTTCTAAAGTTTATTTTCAAATTTTCTGGTAGTTCTTGTCTGCCAGCGTATCCAGGATTCTAAAAGAAAAAGAAATGTATATATGTATATGGATGGATGAATGAGATAGTAACAAACCATCGTAATAATAATTGCAAATGTTGGATTAAGATTAATTTTATCACCATCAGTAAATATAAAAGTTTTTCGATGTTCACATTTTGCTTGTAGTAGACATTGAATTTGTTGAGCCGCTACACTTAATACAGGCAAATTAATTCGATTAAATTCATCAAAACAGCCCCAACTACCAGAAATTGCTAGACCTTTAAAAAGATAATTCATCCGATATATGAAAATAGAAATTCAACAATCGAAACACTTACCTTTAAACGTTTTTCCTAATCCACGATAGTCAAATTGATCAGAACAATTCTGAACAACACAATATTTGCCTAAAATATATCAAGAATATTAATTTCTCAACATTAACTCAAGATTTTTAAATTATATGTACCTAATGTTCTAGCCATATCTTTTGTCGTTTCTGTTTTTCCTATAGAAATACAAAATCAATAAGTTAAAAGTTTCTTTAGTAATATCTACCAGTTCCCGCTGGACCGGCAGGAGATGCACCATAACACATTCCTTACAAATAGAAACAAACGATCAATTAATAATTATTAGAGACGAATGTTTGATATTACAAAACCGTACCTAATGCTTGTGCAATTGAAATATAACATCTGTAATTCAAAAAAACAAAATTTAGAATCATTAATGCAACTGGACATTCTTCAAATGAATAAAAAATAGTTGTGAAAAAGCTCAAGAAAAATAGTACAGATTTCATCTAAGAGGTCAGAAATTTGACATGATAATCCTATAGAATATTTAATCAAATTTTAATTACCTATCCGTTAATGGAGTGATTACAAGTCGTTCGGGACATCCCAATGCTTCATTATCATAAACAAATGTAACATCTGTTATTTTAATTAACATTTCGTCATCATCATCGCGAAAATAGAATCGACATTGTTTTAACCAATCGAAATCGAAATCGGATTGGATGCCTAATAGTAAAATAGAAAAGGAAAAGAAATTATATTTTAATTATTATCTATTTATTTCTAACGAGGAAACCTATGGACATATAACCCTCCGCTTCCATTCATCCATACGTCGATCGATAGAGGATATCGAGGTTGTAAAAAGCTAAAAAGGATCCAGACCGATGGTTTTTTCAAAAGTTATAGGCATTTTTCTGTTTTACCTAGCGAAAAGTTGAAAAATTCATATCTCTGTCCAGAAAAGTAGTTAAGAGCTCAAATTTCTTTCTATGGCTCTTCTACATATCTGTGATATTCATACAAAGTTTTACCTTTGCAACTCCTTCGATTCCCGAGTTATTGAATTTTAAGTTTTCCATAGATTAGCCCTTTCATAGGCTCACAATATAATGGCTTCACAAATCGTTAGTTTTCAACTAGAACTGTTGAAACTTTCATAAATGACATGCTTTTGATTAGTACACACAGAAAAATAATCGAAATTATAGAACTTCAATGCTTTGCAACTCCAATTTTCAAGGAGGTCTCTAGAAATCTCAGCATCTACAACCAGCTTGAGAAATCTTTTCTGGACGAAGATTTGAATTTTTCTAGTTTTGCTATAGGGAAAAACGGAAAAATGCCTATAATTTTTAAAGAAAAAGCCATCGGCCTGAATCCTTTTTTAACTTTTTACAACCTCGATATCTTCCATCGATCGACGTATGAATGAATGAAAGCGGAGGAGTATATGTTCATAGATTTCCTCGTAAGGTATTCATCTTACCACTTGTGTATAAATCGATAAAAATATCTCGTTGATGTAGATGAATTGTAATCAATGTTTCATATTTTGCCCGTTGATATTTGGTCAAATCAGCTACAATTTAAAAGTATATTCTATAATTTAGTTTATAATCAATATAGAACTACATTAATACATGTTGTTTTTCTAATAAATTTATTTAATATTTCGAGAAAATATTTATTTGTTTCATTCATTATCGTTTTATTAATGATAGTTTCTTGTAGTGCTTTTTCCGAACGTTTTGTCCATATTATTTGAATTAATAATAAACCTAATTGTGCAATTTCTTGATCAATAAATTTATATAAATCAAAATCATCATAGCTCATTTTTTCAACACTTTTTCGAATACATTGATGAATCGTTTTCTGATGAGTACGTAAAAAATCATTGAGCCACTCCTCTGTTTGACCTTTAGCCATAACATCTTTATAAAATGGAATTTTTTCATCTAAAAAAACATAAAAAATAATGTAAAAATAATTAAACTGAATAGAAAAATAGATCGTCTACCATCTCTTGTTATCATTGATAATATACGATCTGTTTCTTTAACATGAAATTCAACATTTTTAATCGCTTCTGTAAATGAACTTAAATATGATTGAATTTTTGATGGATCACTTGCTTGACCTAGAATTTCTAACATCACCGGATCACTAAGAAAATAAAATCGTGGAAAAACACCACGTTTTGTTTCCAAATAGCCTGCTAAACTCTTTTGACATAATTCTAATTGTTCCAACATATTATTTAATAGTGGTAATAATGTTTCATCAGATGTACAACATAATAAAACATTTGAATTTTCTTTTGCTTTTGATATAAGTTTAATCCATGTTTTATCCACATTTGCGAATCGACGAGCTTCTTGAGGCATTTGTTTGGCAATATCACCACCAACGAAAACAGCTTCAAGATATATCCATAAATTTTGTACTTGCATCCATTTAGTTAAAATTTCAGATGATATTGCCAAATCACTAATATACTTTTGAATTTGAGTTTTAAAAAATTTATTATAACGATTTGATGATAATGCGGCCAATATTAGATTTGAATCATCAATAGCTGATAATATTTCAGCTGTTTCTTGACCACGTAACAATAGTTCTCCTCGATTTTTAAAATTTGCAAATTTGAACTCCCTAAAAATAGTTTAATAGTGTATTATCAAAAACAATGCCATCGTGTGCTAACCAATGATGAATTTAAGGACATTCAAAAAATCTTAAGAAATATTTTGTGAAAGTTGTCTTTTGGTTAAAGGTAGTCATTCCCTTTCGTTTTAGAAAAAAAGTTTCTCATTCAAAGTTGAACATAAATTAATTTCGAAGAAGTCCTAGAGCTACAAAATAAAGACTACTCTTAGAATTCCACAACATTTTATACAATAGTTATGAAATTTTTACATTTTTATTCAAAACCCTAAAAAAACTCAATGTTTTTGACCATCGTCGCAACTACCCGGGAGAAAGTCCCCAGTTTAATGTAATCTGTAATGCTTACAACACTGGGGATCCCAAGCCAGTCACGTTACGACCCTTCAAAAAAAAAATGGTCTGATCGAGCCTAGATCTTTTCCACTATCTCAGGTTCTAAATTTATTTTAAAGCGTTTTGAACTTCATTGCCGTTGCGAGAAAGTTTTTAAAATAAAAAAATCGACGTTTTTTACATAAAATGTTCAGCACTTTTGGAATATTCAAGGACAGTATATTTTATGGAAAAAAAGTTTAAAACCTTAGATAGAGTCCGATGTAATTTTGACTCAATTGGTCCCTCCTCCACCTTCGCCAACAGGATGAAAAAAAGAAAATGTTCTTAAAAAGTTTTTGTAGTGATCTATCAAAACTTTTAGTTCATTACACGATTGTATCTGCCGTTATATTGTATTGTTCGTAGATCGTTGAATCTTTGTTCCAATTAAAATCACAGAATATATGGGCCGTTTCGGTGTCTCTCCTCCTCTCTTTTCCTCACAAAAATAATTTCCAGATTTTCTACTATTGTTCACCTACCGTAATCTCCATTCTTGTTCAATGGCGATTAATTTCGATTCGATTTCACGTTCTTTTTGTGCTGTTATACTAATATCTTCAACTTCGTCACGTAATTTTACGAGCGGTATGGTCATAACATGTTTCAATGCAAATATTGTCGGTTCTACATATGGTATTTGTACTTTGGCAACTTTTTCTATTTTTTCCCAATGTCGAGATTGCATTGCCGGATTATTTAAATATTCTAATAATGGTAAACATTCATTGAAATTATCTAATTTATTTTTTAATTCACTATAGGCTAGCCAACTCTTTAAGCCTTTTGGTAATTTTTTCATTCTTCCTTGAAAATCTTGTATATCACTAATGATTTTATCTATATTCACTTCTTTCCATAGTGTTTCATTGTACGTATCCATAGTCGATGATACATTATCATATAAACCATATAAACCTCGAAAAATGAAAGAATATCAAAGTAATAAAAAAGAACTAATCATTACAAAATATCATACGTTTCAAGTAATTTAATTGTTTTCTAGTTGTTTGTAGTTGAGGATATTCTCGTTCAGACAAACCAAACAGTAATTCTCCTGAAGAATATGTTTCATAACGTTTCCACAAATCATTAAATCGACTTTCGAATAAAGACAATCTATCACTCGCTTCTTGTGCAGATATTCCCTAAATAGAAATATATATATACTAAGTTTTATTGAAATTAGTCGTCGGTCAAATTACTTCAATCATTGGACCATTTGCTTCATAATCAGCAACAAATTCTTTTACATTTTTTGTAAACTCATCAATATCGCGTAGAAGACGGTGTTGTAGAGTATTTTGTGCGTCTATAAGATTAACAATATACTAATTAAACAGTAAAAATAGACCTATTTATTAAAATTACCAACTAAATCATGAGTAACAGTTTTTGAACGTTTAAGTAAACGTTCATGAACACCACGTAAGAGTTCAATATTTGTTTGTTCTTCTGCTGGTATATCAATCGAATATTTCTTGAATAGACCATATATTTCCTACAAATAACATATTTACTCAAGAAAATTTTCTAACACATTTATTTATTCACCTCAAGTGGATCGATGGTATGATCAATATTAACAAACGTTTCTTTTAGAGAATCTAATGCGCCAATAACAAATCGAACATCATCCAAATCACGTAGGGGACGATTTAATCTTGGTTCAGTTTTTTTCAAATAATCATGAATACGTAAAAATTTTGAACGATAATGATTTCGAATATATTTCGCAAATGTTAACTCAAGACTACGTATGTGTTCAAGTAATTCTTCTTTGAGTTTTAGTGTTTGATATCGAAATGGTTCAACATCTTTTGTGTCTGAAATTTTTTTAACCATTTCTCGTAGCTCATCAAAATCAGCAAACATCGAACGAATAGCAGCAAAACCTGGATCTTTTGAAACAAATTGCTAAAACAAAAATAAACAACATTTGATTTTAAAAATATACAATGTAATTAAGTACAAACTTTTGCTTCTTCATTCTTATTTGTTTCCCATAAATGTTTAAAGATACCATATTCAACTAGTTCATTTTCATATCTTTGATTATTTTCACTAAACCAATGACCAATATTCGAATAAAGTTTAACCAATTCTTTATTGTCAGAAATTATTTTATAATAGGTTTTAGCTAACGAGCCACGAACTTGACCTGTTGTATCATTATGTTCATAAGATTTGAATTCAACGTCGGTTTGACCGGATAATAATTCAGAAAAATCTAGTAAAGAATATGACATTATGTACAATCAATCGTCTTATATTCTTTAGAAAAATATTACCTCTCATCGGAAATGTATGGATTTGTGAATAATCAACATCACGAACTTCGCCCCACTTTCTGATACCACGAAATATGTTCAATACATAATTGACTAATTCATGCATTAATTGTTGAACATCATCAATTGTTGGATTTAAAATCTATATTTAAAATAAAAGTAGTAAAGATGAATTTGATATCAAACATACGTTAACTTACGATAGGATTCAGTAATGTTAGTTTCAATTGAATATTTGTTAAAATAAATGGTAGTTTCTTTATTTCAATATTTAACGGCGCATTGGCATCAACAGTATTTGGTGGATAAAGGCGAAGTTTTTTCGTACGTGGTTTAATCTGAATTCTTTAAAATAAAAATAGTTTATGAGAAAATTTTTTTTTTAAATTATTCTTTCTTACAATACAGGATTAACTCGATTTTTTATGGCTTCAAATGTACTTTTTGCACAATTACTTAATGCATCCTAGAAAATAAGTAATTCGCTCATTTGTATAACAAATACTGTGTGTCCCAAAATATTTGTAATATTATTTGTCACATAAATGTATGCTACAGTACTTCGTAGAATGTCAATTTCTTTTTCAGGAGATGATGCATTATTCAATTCCCTGCAAAAACTTATTGAATATATTTTAAAGAAAAATATGAAGCTAAATTTCTATTGACCAGTAAATGACACTAAGTAACTTTATTTATTTCGTAGCAATTTTCTCTAGTTTTTAGGATCAGTAAAACTTTTACTGATCCTACCGTAAAAGAGAGAAGAGAAACAGATGCTTTATGCATTTTTTCTCATCAATTATATCTTTGATTTAATACTTTAATCTTGAAATAATAATCCAAGTCAACTTTCCCGCTGAAGTCGTGTTAAAATGTCGCAGTAAGATCGTGTCCCACGATCCCGATAATCTTGAACGTACGCTTACACTCGCTCGTGACTCATCCAGTCGCTATCCTTAGAGCGATTTCGGGAAAGACAACCTTTTCGCGACATGGGTCACGACAATCACATCATGACTCATGTTACTCACGGCCCATGATTAATGACTCTTTGAAAGGTCGAGTTCCTTCTTGGGAACACGACTCTCTGTTCAAAAACTAAAGTTCAGGAAGGAATGAGTAAAATTTCTAATGTTTCTTTCATTCTTTTATATAAGTTTGGATGCAGAAAAACGGTGGTGAAGTCCGGATCGCGACCCATGCCACGACTACAGATTTACTCGCGTTTTCTGGCATGATTTTGGGGGTTTAGTCGCGTCGGGATATTACGTAGCGATACCTCGCAAAACTATAAGATTCGTCCATAATCCTAGCACGAGAAAACGCCTAGCGCTAGTCACGGTCAATGTTCTTTAACAAAATTTAAAATCCATCCAAGATCACACCGCGACATCTTGAGATATTAGCGATCGCGGTATGAATCTATAGCGATCACGGGCGCAACAGCGGGATCATGCCGCAAATGAGGCGCGCGACAGTTTACTTGGAAAGAAGAATGGCATTTTGATGGAGAAGAAAAAGTGTACAAAAAAAAGTAAATGGATCTTAACCGTTTTTCTTGATAAAATAAATCTTTGATTAGAAAAAACGCATAAAGCATCTGTTTCTCTTTTCTCTTTTACTGATCCTAGATCAACAACATCCGAAAGAAACAAAGGAGAAAAAAATTTTCACTAGTTGAGACGAATCATCACACAACAAAATGTTCTACAACGAAAACACTGGCGATAAATTGTCCATGACGAATTATCTGCGATGAAAACGTGTGCAACAAATTTTTCACGACTAAATGACTGCGACGAATTGTTCATGCAACGAAATGAACGCGGCGAATTGACCAGTCACTGTTTTTTGTAACCTATTTTTTATATATAATATAAATATAATTTAAGCTTTCTCTTTCGACGGGGAACAATTCTCACTTTCAAACAACGCATAGCATTTTTTTATCAAGCTTTTGCTATGATAAAAATGGTATTAATTCAATAAGTCGCATAAAAGTGTTAATCTCGAATGATTAATGATTTGTTAGCTTTCTACAAGCATTTATCTATGTTTTGCATAATAGTGAGATGAAGATATTCTTTCTGTAAAAAACATTGGTGAAATGAGATCAATTGAGAAATAAGTGGTGATTTTACGACAATTTTTTTATATATGACATCACAGTGAAGAAACGTATCAACTTTTTTGTTGAAAGTAGATTCTTTGTAACTTAAAACAAATTAGTAAACGCGAAGGAGATTGCATTGAAAACTGTTAAATATCAGTAATCAATTGAGTTTTTCAATAATAATATGTCAGCTGCACTCTTATTATCCGTGTGTTTATTCGTTGAGTATTAAGCAGAAAGAATAAAAAATGAATGTTAAATAGGTTTACTTCACTAGGTCACAGTACGTGATCTTTCACAATAAAATACAGTCAATAAGATTTTGTAGAGAATTGAATAATGCATCATCTCTTGAATAAGAAATTGACATTCTACGAGATACTAAAGCAGAAATATATGTAAACGAAATAATATTGCAAATATTTTGAGACATTTGGTAATTCCATTCATTTGTATAAAAAGAACTACGTTAAACTACTCACAATAAATCTTGTTTCAAATGAACTTAAAAATTCATTACCTTTGGCGAAATAAAAAGACCATTATTTTTAAAAATAAATGAAAATTTACTAATACTTACATATTTCATTAAATCTTTCCCAATCATTCGATGATCGTAACATAAATTGTGTGACATTTCTTCCACTACCTTGTTTTCGTTCCGCTTTCATTCGATCATGCACAAACATTTGAATTGTTAAACGTTGCATAGCAGTCAATTGCATTAAATCTATTAAGAATACAAATTTTATTTATTAATATTTTCTACTAAACGATTGAGTTAAAATATAATTACCTATATCTCCAATTCGTCTTTCAAATGTTTTTAATTTAAATCCCATTTTATCAAAAAACATTTTAATTACATATAATACAGCACTTTCAATTTGCATCGATAATAAATTTAACTTTTCCGCTTTACTAATAATTTGTTTTTTCACATCATTAATAAATTGTTTTAAATCAATTGGATCATCGGATAATTCAATAATTTCAAAATGTTCAACTTCAGCGAGTGGCTCTTCAATTCGATATGTTATTAAACTTGTTATTTGATTTAGAAAATGTGTCATAACAGATATGGCTTCTTCAGCGGGTGTAAATAATTCTTCAATATTTTCCGATAACCAATTTAAACGTGTTAGACCAATAGATAATGTATTATCAACCTAAAAATAATAAAACATGAAAAAAAAATTTAAAAAAATTAATTATTAGACTGTATGAAAAAAAAGAAAATTATCTTACTTGTATCATTGTTTTATCAACTAATTCATAACTAGCTGGATGTGCTTTAGCTAACATTAAATTTAAATTTTTCAATAATTTCTAAAATTTTAAATAGATAAATAATTTTTTACAAATAAAAACAAAAAATGTTTGTTTTTTACTTTTAATCTTTCATAGTTTAATCTTAATCTTGTTCGATCCAATAACATTTTGTAGCCTAAATCTGGCATTATTATCAAATGTCGAGCTAATAATTCACATTCACGTTCAATAACATCAATAAATGGATCATAATTGATATATAGTTGTCGAATAGCTGTTTGCCGTAGTAACAATGGATAACACATGACATTTACAACATTGGACAATATGTGATACCTGAAAAGTATATTTGTTACTTTTTAAATAGACAAAATATATGAGATTATTTACCAGTGTCGATGATATAATAATTCATACAAGGCAAAGGCGTTAGATATCGTTATAAAATCATTTGTAATATTTTTCATAATAATATGATCTTTTAATTCTGAACGTTTTATAAATTCAACATAAGGAGTTTGAATACGTTTGTACATGTGTCTCGCCCAAATAATACGACCTATACCAAAAATAAAATTTTATTATTGATCAATTTGATAATTCATGATCATTTATATATCCAAGAATGTTGTAGACGATCTCAAACGAGTCTGCTCAATAACTTCGGACAAGAATTGAAAAAATTTACTTGTTTTTTTCCATAGTAAAAATAAAACAATTTTTGCTAAAAATTTCGTATCCTTGCTAGAAAATTTTTCGCTCTTATTCAAAAATCTGAAGCAATAAGACAATCCTGTCAATATTTAGTAATAAATAAAATGCAGAATGTTAAAAAACACAATTTAAAACAATTGATATCTTGTAAAAAATACTTTTTACCAATAATTGGTGGATGATCACGTTCTATATGTGGCGTATTCCGACATAAATTGTAAATCATTTTTACACGCTAATTATTTATAGATAAGAATATTATTTTCTTTTTTTACATTTGGCAATGACAATTCAAAAACCCTCTTACGTCAAGTTCTTCTTTTTTATACCAATTGACGATATCCGTTGAAAATTCAACTGGATCAAAAAATGGTATACGCAAATTTTCATAACGTTCTAACAATTTCAAACTATTGATTGAATTATGTGATAACGAATGTAATATACGATGTAGATCTTTATCGAGTAGATCATAGAGTTTTTGCTGTAAAAAGAAATAGAATGAGATTATAAAATAACTAATAATATTCTTCCACTCATACTAAAAATTGTGTTCTTATCTTAAAAGATAGAAAACTCCATATTCAACAAAATAGTGTGTTTGATTTTACAATCTAATCAAAATTACATGGATGAAATGTAAAAGACTCTCATTTTCGAAAAAATTTTCTCTCTAAAAAGTGATTTCCTTTTTGTTTGTACTCTTTACTTCATTTCAAACTTTATACATATGAAAGTACTTTCTATAAAATTCTGTGTCTAACAGTCATAAACTAAACCTTTAAGATCCAGTTTGCTTTTATCTGAAAAATTGCTAGAAAAAAAACTCATGTTTTTATTTTGCATTTTTCTACCAATCGTTAGTAATAGTTAGATTTTTTATTCTTTTTAGTAAATCTGTTGCTATTTCACTTAAAAGCTAATATATTTTAACAGAGCGTAGAATTTTACAACTTTTAACATATAAAATTCATCATTCGAACTGAAAGTTCGACAGAAATATTGATAAAACGTCATATTATCAAGTAATGTACTGTAGAGCTCTTGTATTAAGAACTTAATGAATATAACTTATGAAGTTTGAATCCAAATTGACAGAGCATAGAATTCTACATCTTATGTTATAGAATAAGTTCAAAATAAATTCCAAATAACATAGGAAAAGACACTTAAATTTTGCTGGATTAGCCTCTAAAACGAGCTAAGAACAAAATTTCCAGTACGAGTAGAAGGAGTAGATGAACAATGTTGTATAAAATTGGCTAGTTATTTCTCATTTATGCCTTACTTACATCAATATCGAATAGAGCTTTGGCTAACCCATTATAATAATCATCAAACTTCAAATCATTTGGATCTAATAGATCACATTTAAGAACATAAAATTCAGCATTTAAATTGGTAAATAAATGTATCACTTGTTCGAGTCCATCAATTTTAGCTATATGAAGGGATGAATAAATTTCAAATTCTTCAATAATACTACGAAGCTAAAGTAATCGTCATCAATAGAAGTTATCATTTTCTAATATTAAAATACCTTTTATTACCTTTATTAACCTATTACTAAGAATTTCTAATTTTCCTAAAACATGTCGTTCTGATAGATGATCATAATTTTTTTCTGAATATCTTTCTTCAATTTTTTGTTTTGCTTTTAAAAATGCATCTTTGAATGTTAAATAAAATTGATTAACATTATCAATACGTTTCAATAGTTCTTGAGTGGATAATGTTCGAATATCAATGGTATGATTATCACTCATATAATTTTTACAACTTATAACAATTTGATTTGTTAACTAAGAAAAAAAAATAATAGAACTTTTTCTTAGAATTAGATGAAGAATGACATTTACTGCAACAAGTAAGGCAGCAATTTTTTCTGGTTTTGAATAAAATTCACTGCAAGAATTAATAAGCGTTATTGTTGATAATAATGGATTGATACTATCAAGCATTTCGAGCTAAAATCAAAAAAAAGAAAAATAAGAGTATAAATCATCAATAGTTAGTTATTAGAGAAAAAATAAAACATACGGGATCGTTTCGATACAATGCTCCAACATGTTTTGCGACTATTGTTAAAAATTTATAGTGATCTCGTACTTCATTGATACTTTGTGTTAATTTTTGATCGATCGATCGCCATTCCTAAATCATACATTGAAAATGAATACTTTTATCTATTTTTCCTTAAAAATCAAAATAATCATCACAGACAATTGAACGTGAACTAGCAGCTATATTTAATAGGTAAATAACAGCACGATTTCTTGGAAGTCGTAACTGATTCATTATCTCGTTTAATTGAAGAACTTGTGTACGCCAATACATCATTTCATTCAACGGTCCAGAATTTTCTTGTATTTGACGAATACGTGTACTTTTTCGATGAAACTAAAATTAAGAAAGAAAAGTTATTCGATCACTCGATCAAAAAAAAACATCAAGCTTACTGTGCGAATTTCAGTTATCCATTCATTAATTACTTCATCAGATTGTTGAACTAAATCAGTATCTTGTGCAAAACGTATTAATGAATTGGCACTAATTACTTCTTTTGTGTCGTGTCTCAGCCGATTTGGAACCCTACAATGAAGATAAAATAAACATAAAGTAGAAAAAACAAAACGTTATATTCATATACTTTTGTAAATGAATAGCTGTTGTTATACTTTCATGAATATCTAGAAAAAATAAATAAACAGTAGTCATTTTTAGTGTGTAACTGAAATAGTGACTTACTTCGAAAAAGAGCAGCATTCTGCTCAATTTGATATAATAGATTTGCTCGAAGGCGATCAGAATTTTCAATAAGCACACTTAATTTATTCCATTCATCGGCTTTTTTTATCGCTAGATATAAAAACTATTGTACATACTCTTAATAGAATACGTTTGTAAATTGTTATCGCGTACGTGGTAAAAAACTAAAGAGTAAAGTTTCCATATTAATCATAATATCTAATGATGGTGATTCGAATGCAAGGGACATGATGGCCAGTTCCTGAATGAGAAAGTAAATCTAGGCTAGTTTTTCTCTGTAGATTAGAGTAAAAAAACAAATCAATTTCTAACATTTTTGAAATTTATTTTTGTTAATTTAATTAAATTTGTCTTCAGAAAAATTAAACCAGCATCTTCAAATGATTTATCAATACCAATACGCAAAGAAATGTCTTCTTCTTTAGTAGTACGACTTAGATATGGACCTAAATATAAAAAATTTAGATATTGTGTTTTACTTTTGAATTATTGTTCAATTATACCAGAGCCAGAGCCTTTTCCTAAGCCACTTCTTTCACCTTCAACACGGAAAAATACTGGTAATAATCGAAAATTTTCATCATCAAGAAATCGTTGAATTATTTTCCACTAAATTGAAATTATTTCAATTTTTCGAACGCTTCAAGCACACTCTTCAGATGAAAGCATACATTTCTAGGGACTTGACATTGTTCCGCTATTACAGCTACTGATGAATGCGAAAAAAATGATATTATGTCAAATATAAAATTGTGAATGATAGAATCGTTCATTGCAGTAGCACAAGAAGTTGAATTTTCAGACTTGTTTTTACGTAGTAAAGGAAAAGATTGATCATCATCCATAGTCTAAACATACGCCGTTTTTATTCGAAAGTAGCAAACAGAAACAGTTTAAATACACATACCCCTTGGTCCTGGTCTGGAGCCGTTCCCTAAAGAGAAAAAAATAAGATGATTTGAGTCACAATTCCCTCTGATGTTTTATCTTGTCTGACTAAATTTCAATCAAACATCCGCGATCAAGCACACAGTTAATTGACTGATTAATTGCACTTAATTAGCAATTTCTTGTCGATTTTGACCAAGTACAAAATCACATGCGCTATGCAGTTTCCTTCAGTTGATTCAAATTACTTTACTTTAGGGATGATATCTAAATTCTGAGCTTCTTCTCGTTGTTCTTCGCGCACTTCTTTAGCTATGGTTGATTGTACTACTGCTGGTTTTTCTACCATATTGTATTTGATTTAAAATAGAGAAACTATTGTGCAATTAATAATAATAATAAACGAACGCTCAGCACGGTCTGTCCAATTATCTTCGAATGAAAATTTGTGCATAAAAACTTGTTTCTAGTTCAGCTTAATAACAAAGAAATCAAGGTACATTAATTCTATGTAATTTCAACAAGTCTTATTATCTTTCCTTTAGTTAAACTTTTTCAAATCGCACCTTTTTGTTGCCATTTTAACGCGAACTATTCTCTGGGTTACCGTCCTCTGCTAATATACTTGATACGTCGCTACTGTATTTTATGACTTTGTTGCCAGCATACATCTCTTGGAATTTTTATGGGAAAAAAATAGTGAGAGCCAAGTAGCATTATGCCAAAAATAATTAATTGTATTATTTCACACTAATGAAAAAAGTTATAAAAAACATATTGGTTATTTTGTTTCATCAATCGTAAACTGTTGGGCACTTGAATGACTACGTCAGTGTCAATATAGTAATACAAGTGAATAGAATTGAAGAACACAAAAAGGAACGAAATGAACCGGATCGATAAGTTAATTAGTCTTATCTGGATTCAGTCGATATTTTCTTGCTAAATTCAGCAAGTATCGACGCTGCTTTATCTAGACCAAATTAAAGTTAGAAGAATCAGGCTAGATAAATGCGATTCAATTCAATCCTACTATGAAAAAGAAGTTTATTATTTCCATCTCATTCGTTTCCACTTTTCGGCTGTATGTGTTTCCACTGCCTCAGTATATGACTTTTACTATTCATAGTCACAAATCATATCGATTCCACCAATTTATTGTTTTATATTTTGAAACAGACTTGAACGAGAAACTAAATATTATGACACTAAGTATTCTATGTACAACGATAATAATTTTATATTATTACACGAATTGGAAAAGTTCACTGTGACGCTGGAAAATAAAAGTGCCACTGTTCACATCAACAATATTTGTAGGACATTTTCAAATTCACGAATAAATAAAAATACGTCGTTGACGATAGTTAAGTTAATTTATTGCGTATTGTGAAAACTTCCTAGGACTTGTCCGTTTTTCGAAGGAAAAGGAAGTTTGAAGTATAAAGTTTATATACGAGGTTTGTGGTTTGTAGAGGGTTTTTTATCAGTAACTGTGAACAGTATTTCAGTAGTTGTAAACTTTCGGGGTGAAATTTTGATTGACTAAATTTCAACATAAATTTGGTGTTTACAGCTACTGAATGGACTAGTAACAGACGATGCATCATCGATCTGTTGTTGTTAGACACAAGTTTTAAAAATGATTAGGATATATTATTACATGTTCTATGTTATAGTCCAACAGTTCAGTAGGAAATTTTCACATTTTTTCTTCGTAGACGCAACGTTGACAAACTTTTTTTAGATGTTTTAGACAAACATCTTTCATAGTGACTTTTATTTTTTAAATTATTCGTTATTTTTCTTATATTGATCCAAAGAAGAAGAGTTAAAATAAATTTTAAAGTAAGAATGGGTCAAGCAAAATCTCAAAATGAAGCTAAATCTATATACGCAACGTATATTGATCATACACTTTTGTTATTTCGACGTTTGGCATACGATATTTGGACTAGTCCAATCAATTTAATTCTTCTTATATTAATTATACTATTACTAATCAAATTATATTTTATGAAACCAAAATCAAATAATACACATAAATCCGTACCCGTACAATTACCAAAAATGAAAAAATGTGATATGACACTTGCAGAATTGCATGCATATGATGGAAAAAATTCAAATGGCCGTGTACTAACGGGTAAGTAAATTATTATCTCGATTTTTGACCTTACTATCTAAACTCTTGTAGCAATTTATGGTGATATATTTGATGTTAGCCGTCGCATCGATTTATACGGTTCAGGTAAACATTATATAAAGGCATGTGAGAATGAGAAGTAGGATAGTTTTTATATTCATTTAGGTGGTTCTTATTGCACGTTTGCCGGTCGTGATGCCACACGCGCTTTGGCCAAGATGCAGTTAGATCCATCTTTATTTACGGAAAATTATGATGATTTACAAGATTTAAGTGAGAATGAACGTTCTACAGCTCGAGCATGGCATGACGACTTCAAAGGTATAGAAAATCATGAATTGATGTCAAACAATTTTCATAACTTTGTTTTATTATAAAACAAAAAACTTGCTCACAAACCAAATGGATCAAGTTTTGAGAACACTGTTTTGTCATATTGACTCTATTTAATTTATCATATTTTCTTTGTTTAGACAAATATGACATTGTTGGTCGAGTACTACGTCCAGGTGAATCACCAACAATTTATACTGACGAGACTGATAATGTTGAAAATATGGGTGACAAAAAACATAAATAAGCATGATATTCTTGTATGGGTATGAGTGTGGTTCTCGTTACGATATCGAACAAGAATTATTGGGTTTTAACACATTAATTTATTAGTTTAACATCTATATGCTCAAAAGTCGTCTGTTTTCTGTTTTTTTTGTTTACTAGTTATTTAAAAAGATTATCAAGTTATTTATATATATATGCATAGTCATATAACCAACAAACCAAAAACATTTTTCTGTTATTCAGTTACATCGATTTAATCTCTTTTATATCCATAATTTTCTGTTTATTTCTTCTTATTTTGTCAGAATCATGACTCTAAACAACATAACTTAAGTTAAAATCTTCTAATATTAATAAAAATCTAATAGATTTTTAGCGTCGACGATAAAACGACAACTGATTAAGAATTCAAAGTTAACAGATCACGTTTACAAACGGAGTAAGCAACGTAGCAGAACTTTCACTAAATCAAAAAAAAAAAATAGCCTATTCGAATTGGTTATACAAATAACATGCATCTATCCATCATTAATTTTTAGTTATTGATAAGAGAATTCCACTTGTCTAATTAGTTAAAATTTCTTTTCTTTTTTCTAGACTATACTTGTATTTTTGATGACGAAATGAATGAGAGTGATGACGATAAGGTTTGTAATTGTTTATTTTTTTAAGATTATTTTTTTCTAACTGCAGCTATTTTCTCTCAAATTCTCATGTCTTATGCACCTCCTATCAGCTAGTGAGTCTCGGTATTAGCCTTATGTGTTTTTATTCGAGATGAGAAGCAAACTATTTCTGTGATTAGTATTCACGTTATCTTGTATTTATAGTAAAGCATAAATATACATACTATACTTTTTTTATGTCAAATAGGAAAAAAAATCATGTCTTTCGTCAACTTGTTTTAGATTATTATTATTGCTTTATTTTTATAGTCAACACCTTCTCTTCATCGTATTAAATCATTATCACTCACATCACTGTTTGATGATATAGATGATGATGAACATTGCGATATTATTGTTACAAATTTACTGTTTGATGAATTATTAGTGAACGATGGAAATTCAATCACACATGTAAGAAAATAGATTTTGATTTTTAGTTGAATAGAAAGAGAAATAAAACGGCCATTTTTTTTATACATTTAGCTTGATTCTGTTTCGTTACGATCACATCCAGTTAACCGATCTAAATCCTCAGTGTCTTATGACATCACAAAGCCAAGATCTATAGCACTAACAACAAGAAAAAAGTTTGTGTTTTTTTGATTTTTAGAATAGACTTCATTTATCGAGCAATGATGTTTATTTATTTTTATAGAAATCCAAATAATCTTGATGAATATCCTTTACATCGTGCTGTTGCAAATGGGCAAATTGAACTTGTTGGAAAATTATTACAGGAGACGCCCTTTATTTATGAAAACGATGGAATACATTGGACACCTCTCCATCACGCTGCATGGTTATATAATTTTCCTGGAATTTTTCTCATTTTATAATATATATATTTTTTTGTTCTAGGCACGGTCATCATCGTATTGTTGAACTTTTGTTACGTTCTAAACGTTTTTCACCAAATGCTGTTGAAAATTTTCGAGCGACACCACTTCATTTTGCTGCACTATTGGGACGAGTAGAAGTCGTTCGTACACTACTTCATTATCCTGATATCAATGTTGTAAGAGGAATCAGAGCAATTGTTTTGTTTTCTTTATTTACCTCTGTTTAATTAGCACGCAATTAATATCGATGGAAAAACAGCACTCGATCGATGTAAATTAAATCCAAAACCAGACTGGCAATTATGCGCTCAACTTATTGAAGAATTTATGCAACGACCGGTAAATATATATTGCAGAAAGCAATTACATATTCTATTTAATCAGTATATTTAGCCTGAAAAAATAAAAATTCGTTTAACTGATGGCACCACATCTGAATTGGATTTGATAGCTGGAAGTGATACAACTTGTAAACAATTATACGAACAAATGATAGCTCGTTTATCTTTAATACCGATAGAACTGTATTCAAATGTATTTGGTATTTGGATTTGCTCAAAAAGTCTTCGTATACAACTCAAACCGGATCATAAACCTGTTCAACATTTATTTGCGTGGAAAAAATACGCTATACCCTCACTAACCAGTAATGACTCAACAAATTCGTCGTTAAATAATGTCAATACAAATGATGAAGATCCTCAATTATATTGGTTACGTGATTCATTGCTGAAAATTCAAGCTGAACAAAAAATACGGCATCCATACGCTATTCGTTTACTATTTTTTGAAGCATACCAGAATTATATTCAGTCATTATATCCATGCGCTGATGATGATGCTGTTGAATTTGCAGTTATATTTATGGTATGTAAAAAAAAAAACAAAGGTTGTCTAATGTCTGTATTCAAGTGCTTTTGTTTTAAGGGTATAACAGCAACAAATGAACAAAAATCAGACATTAGTAAATTAATTAAATCACATGATAATGAAACATTGAGCATTTTAATTCCAGCAGAAAAATTGAGAAGAAGAGGAAATCATTACTGGTGCAAAACAATCTTAAAAAAATATAAAGAATTTTTTAACGACGATGGTCTAGTACATCAGTATCGATTATCATCTGGTGGACGTTCTAATCGTACTAGTAAGTAAAACTTTATGACAGTATTAATGGTAAAAAAGTTGTATTTCACAGTAGACGAACGTTCAGCAAAACGTTATAATGAATTATCTTTACAATTACATTTTCTCAACCTTGCACAAAACTTAACAATATATGGTGCTAGTTTCTTTACTGGTAACTAATTTATGTTGTACCTTTTTCAATAAATAACATTTGATTCTTATTTATAGGAGAGTATGAATATGATGGACGAAAAATCACAAGTGTTTATATTGCTATTAATGATTTTGGTTTACATTTGATAAATCGTCAAACAAAATCCCATGAATGTAGTTTCTCCTACAAGCAGATGACATTTACTATTGGAACTGGAACTTTATCAACGTTAGAAATTTATACCAAACAATCACATAATGGAACACATTTTGTTTCGAATAACAACAACAAGGATGCGCATCATACAAACAATAAAACATTTTTTTCATTTTCATCATCAGCAACAAAACATCATTCATCAGAAAAAACTTTGCAACAACAACAACGAACATCGCTTCATCATATATTACATACAAAACAAAATTTTTTAATTTATCATTTAATGTGCAATTTTGCTGAAGAAGGTCAAGAAGAAAGATCAAGGATATAGAGTATCAGCTTTTAACACAAATTAACCTGTGAGCAATTTTAATTGAGACAATTGTTCATTTTCGTGGTTAAAATGCACGCCACAATTTGTTTCAAAACGACGTTTCGTACTTGAACTTGAACTCATTATATTATCAAAGATAAAGGAAGTAACAAAGCGAGGCTACAAGTGCATTCTATAAATGTTAGACCTTAAGAAATGGATGAAATAGCACCGACACTACTACTAACTAATGAGTTTTGTATAGGTACAGAATAGAGATAGATGGAATCACACAGCAGAACTTCTAAAACGAAAAAGTTACATTCTTGTCTTTTTGTTCCTAAAAATAATTTTGAATATTTATTTTAAACAAAGAGACAGTCTTGCTGTCAACAACAGAAAGAGGTAACTTATTCCATTCTTTTGCCGTACATACAAGAAGGGAAGCAGCGAAGGAAGATTTTCTTGCAAAGATTATATTGAGCTGACGAGTCTGAGTATTCTGTTGTGAATATCAGTTAGTTGAAAACATCATCACATGAAATCGAAAGAGAGTTGAATGATTGTTTAAGATCTTCCAAAGATATAGGAGACGGGCTACTTTTCTTCTGTGAGTCAGATATTCTAAGCCAATGTTATGTACTATAGCAGTAGAATTGGCAGGGTGGTTTTTAGAAATTATTCAGGCTGGCAGACGTTGAATAGAGTGGAGATCTCCTAGGTGGGTGTTGAACGTACTGTCAAAAATGACTGTTCCATATTTCATTACAGATCTTATGCACGTCAATTAAAGGCGTTGCCCCAGTTTATACGGTACTTCTCGAAACTTTTTACTTATTTCATCTAGCCTCTGACACACTTAAAGTGTGTCACACTTAAAGTGTGTCAGAGTAATACTAGATACCCCCATATGTTTTGTCACACTTCAGAACATACCAAATGTCAATTTTGTTTATTTCCTCCCTTATTTGCTCAAGGTCATCTACGATATTTAAAGGTTAATACATCCGGTAGATCGTTTATAAATATGAGAAAGAATTTTACCTAATAGGCTCCCTTGGGGAATCCCGGATGTCACCGAAACTACTGTCGGTAAAGCATTGTTTATTTTAACTTGTTGACTTCTTCCCGAAGGTACAAACTAAACCAAGAAAATAGTTCACCCTTAATTTCCGTCTCAGATAGTTTTGAAAGAAGAATCTGATGAGGTACACGATCGAATGCGCGAGCAAAGTCAAATGAAAGTCCAACAGAACGCTGAGATAGCTTCGATCCATCTTGGATCCAGCATTTCAAAGACTTTATGCATTATGCATGCTGGAGCATCCACTGTAGATGACCGAGGACGAAAGTCAAATTGAGTTTTATTGAAGAAATTATATTTGTTTAAGGGCTCAGCTAACGTATTGTAAATGATTTTTTGCACTGACATTCGAAATTAGACTGGCTGGCGATAGTTTTCAACTACTCAATGGTCACCTTTTTTAAATAAGTGTCTTACTGAAGATCTTTTCCCAAATACCGGCAATTTCCCTAGTGTCAAAGAAGAATTAAAAAGATGCTGAAGTTGCTGAGCTATAATCTCAGCTGAACCTTTCAAAAATTTAACTGAAACTTTATAGACACTCTTAGCATTTGTATTATTGAGAGAGATTATATAGCAGACCGTATGTCCTCTAGAATTTCAAATTTTTCAAGACCTGGAAAAGTAGAGCTAGGTTTTGTTCAAGGATCCTCAGAATGTGAACTAAAGAGTTCGGTTTTGTCTCTCGTGGTTTGCTGACCGTGCAATGATTCTGATTTGTGTGAGTTAATGTGGCTGGAATATCTGACTGGTCTTTGCGATACTTATTTACTGACTTTTAAAACGTCCGATGATCCTTAAACTGCGACGTAACTGTCTGCCAAGTTATGCGTAGAAATACAGATATAAACATACCCTAACCAGTCAGTTAAAATGAGATCGCAGTCTGCAGAACGAAAAAAGTCAGAATTGATGTTGCAATGTGCGTCAAGCGCATTTTTCGAAATCGTAAACAAAAAATGGCGAAGAAGTTGCTTTAGAATGAGAAATAGAAAATTTCACAAGAAGTGTATAATGATGAACGCCATAAAGAGCTTGAATGTCGAGCGAACGACTTATCCCAAGTATCAGCATAATATGCCCGAGTTTTTTATGGTGGTGTTAGAAGAAAAAGCATGTTGAATAGAAAGATTACTACGATCCTTAACTTTTTTCGAGTTGAATTTAGCATTGGGATCTTCTAAAATAACTACCTGCTCATCTGATTTCACATTGAAACGAATAAACTGTTTTAGAAACTCAAAGTAATCTGTCATTTTCTTGGAGTATGAAGATGGAACGCAATAAGAGTTAAAAATGACGATTGACTTAACTGAACAGTAAAGAGCAACCGTCTCAAGTTCAAGTGAGCTGATAATAAAATGATGTTTTAAATCAGATCTTATATAAGTAATCACTCCACGCCTTTCCTCGTTTTTTCTGTCCTGTCGATAATGAAGATAACTCTTGACTTGAGTCTCGGTGTTTGATATTTTTGAGTTCAAAAATGTTTTTTGTGCAAACAAAAACACTGCTGGATTAGTCCGAGAGGCGAAATTTGTAATTGAGTCAATGTGTTTCTCCAGGCTTCCAATGTTATTAGTTATCACCAATAGATTTCCAACAGAATAAGAATCAGACTTAAAAAAATAGAGTTAACATCATCGGAGGAGAGAGACGAATGGTACGATGATTTTCGTTCGTTCGATCTACACTTCGTTGTAATAATATTTTTTGAAATTTTTGAGTCAAATGTAAAGTACCATTGTCATTTGAATGTAGTTTATCTGGCTCCATCATATCTGCTTGGAAATCAAAGTTAACTACATTAACAATTTGATCATTCAGAAACATGGATTTCAAATTTGAGTTATATTCATTAATTTTTTTTCATAATATTTGGAATATCATGACGAGAAGATACTGTTAAGATATTGATTTCCGCACATGGATAGTATGTTTTATTCTTCTCTGTAAAAAGGATAAACGAAATTGTTCATTTATTTTATAGAAGATCGAGAAGAAGAGAAAAATGATTTTGATTATATAGGAGTAGAAGTAGTGAAATGAATGTGAGATGATGATGGTAACCTTGAAAAGCATTTATTTAAGAGTTATGTTGTTGTCATTTAGCCATTTAGGTTAAAGTTTAACTCTTCCATTTAAATTCTTTCTTATCACATTTTTTACCGTTGCTATGAGAGTGACATGTAAAAATACTTTTTTAGCATTGCTTATCTGGATCTCATTATAACTCTGATATTTCCATGTTATTTTTTGACGCATTTTGATCACTTTTTGATCAACTTCTCGTAAATTTTATCTGTTCATTACATAATCTTTGTTTTTTTTAAACAAATTGCACGTTTCTTACTATCTTTTTCTTTTAATTACCAACGTATCTGCCTTCTATTAAGACACTTTTATCGAACGGACTTTTCTTCTATATGTGAGAGTAGATTGTACGACTGGTTTTTTGATGATCTCTGTATTTACAATGATGATAATAATAAAAATAATTTACACTCATTTTGGTATGTCATATGTCAAATATAAAGGTAATCTATAGTGTTTTGTATAATAAATAGAAAAATAACGAAAAGATAATACGTCATGTAAGGTGTAAATTGACAAAACCATTGTGTCCTCGTATCTTAAATAAAGTCGATGGATCATCCGATCAATTTAAAACATTTTTATAGTTTTTTTCTTTAGTTTTGGATTTTTTTGAGAAATGGCCAGTCTCATTCTAAACACCAGTATGAATTCAACAAAAAGTCACACTATAGAAATGTACGAAAAAATAGCTGCTGCTATGTAATGTTTGCAATGATTTGATTAGTTGTGTACTCTTAATTAAAAGAGTTTTATGAATCAAGCTCTTTTTTGAATAATTTATTTTTAATAATCTTTATTTAAAATAGAATTTTTGTAGAATATCGTTAGTTAATATTGAATAGATACGTACTGTTCTCAAATAGTAATAGTTTAGTTAAAATTTAGTTTAATTCATATTTTATTGCTTATTTCATTTGCTTGATTGCATTAGAATCATAAAATATTATTTTTTTAGAGCAATAAATAATTTATACTTAAGAAAAATGATTTTTACAAGAAAAAAGCACGATGCTCTATTTGTTGATAATTAAATTGCTTTAAAATATCATCTGAAAGAGAAATTTTTTATTTCAGCTCTATTATTATCATTTTAGATGTGATCAAACGTTACCTACGGAACAGGCAACGGAAACATTAAATCAAGTTAATAAACAACTTATGAGTTTATATCAAAAGTAAATGTTATAAAAAGTGTGTGTGTATGATGTGTATAGCTAAATTTTGGCATTTTTATTATTTTAGTCAAACATCTTCAACATCAACAAATTTATCGCTGAATGAATCAACACCGTTTACTTTTTCACAAACAAAACAAAAAATGTATCAAGTACGACGAACTTTCTTATTGATTGTGACATTTGATTTAATATTTATGATTTTATTATGGATTATCTATGATCAGGTATTCATTATTGAAAAGAAAATGATAATATTAATTCTTATCCATAATTTTATTCATTTAGATTCTTAATCGTACAATTATCGATGCTTTTCATATTGAGATTGAACATTACAGTATAAAAACTTCATTATTTGATGTTGTTGTAAGTTTTTATCAAAAAATAAAAGCAAAAAAAATTCAAACTTCTATTATATAAAAATATTTTAGGCATTGTCTGCATTACGTTTCATTCTACTAATGGTATCGTATGCTATTATGAAATGGTCACATTTGATCTTTGTAGCTGTAAGTAAGTAAAGTTTTTCAAAGTTCTTTTCAATTAACAATAAAAAAAATATTTTTTAATTATTTTTTTTACAGTTTACAACTTTGGGATCAACAGGATTTATCATAGCAAAGGCATTGGTCTTTTCGGTACGTATTGTCATTAATAAGAGATAATTATTTCGTTTGAACTCTCTTTTTTCGTTAGATTTCCAAGTCAGATAAGGGATTTACAGGTAAGATACAAAAAAAATATATTTTAATAGTAATAAAAATGATTGTAGTAATTGTAGTTACCAAAAATTTTAGATTATGCTGTGCTCATTATTTCATTTGTTTTGGCATGGTTTGAAATATGGTTTTTCGATTATAGAGTAGTCCCACATGAGAGACGAATGACAGAAGCTTGTAAGATTTTTTTGAGAAATAATAAAATATAAATTATTGATTTTTGACCAATTATAGTAAATGAACGTTCATGGGAACGTCGACCACTAATTAATGATAACTATCCATCAAATTATCGATCAATTACAACTCGGTCCAATAGTGATAGACAGTCATTTTATTCTCCAGTACCATCTATTGACGGTTAGTTATGCTTTATTTTAATGTGTTACAGATTACATTTTTTTATTTTTCTGAAGCTGTGAGCAATGCTAAAAGTTATTTCTAGACAACTTTCATACGTTAAAACTAGACATACAACAGTCTTATTTTCGTATTTTTCAAAAAATGGTTTGTATTTTCGCAACAGCAAACTGTGAAATTTTCTGAAATCAAATTTCAGAGAAAACGTTTTTGATAGAATGATCATTCTCATTTCGTTTTTGGTCATTCTATCAAAAACGTTTTTTAAAGAAACCAAGCAACTTTAAAAATATCTAGTATATGCCATCTTGTAGAAAAATGTTTGCTGTACAAAACTGCTGAGTTCAGAAAATTCACAGTTCGCTATTGCAAAAATACAAACCATTTTTTGAAAAATACGAAAAAAAAAACTGTTGCATGCCTAGATAAAAGTTGATGGGCAAGCTTTACGTCAATTTTCTTTTCTAGCTTTTGATAAATTCTTTTAAAATTTTAGTTCTCTAGTAAATAAGATGTCGAGATGACTTACCAGCAACTATTGGGTAATGAAAATATAGATAAGAACGTAAGGTTGAATAATTTACAGTGACCATTATCCTTTTGTTTTGTCTTTTGGGATACTACTATCGAATAACATCTCGTCTGCCATCTATAAAATGGTAACTACAGTTTAAGTTATTAATATAAGGATTTTACTAAAAATGATCATATAACAAAAGACAGAAATTTTCAAGTGTAAAACTCAAGTCTTGAATAGGAAAAATTATCATTTTTTCATATGTCTCTAGAATAGAAGAACGAAGAATAACTCACCTCACGCGATTATGATCATATTTCTTTCTCATGTCACAGCTTGTATGGTCTATCTTTTTGAAAGCGCTAAAGTGTTTAAAGAGAACATGTCATCTTCTTGTTCACTCTATCATAGAAAAGGAGTAATGGAACGAGCTGCTTTTTATTAAAATAAAATACCAATTTATTTGTCACTCTACAAATCGAACAAGTTCCAATTATATCTCTAAAAAATATTTATTATTCTGTTACAAGAAATTGTTGTTAATGAAAACTATGTCGTTTTTACTGTCGTTCTTTACTGAATCCAGTTCCGAACAAGACAAGTATATTTTCGATCTAGATTAGAACTAAATGCGCTTTCTGATATATCACAATTTACTATTTTCATTTGTAACGTAGCATCAAGTTGTTATCAAATTCTTCTAATGGCAAATCCAACTCTCAAGAGAACTACCCAGGTGACCAAGAGCTTTTCTAATTAAAACTAGTTTTTCTAGAATAATCCTTGATGCTGATCTGAAAAATCGAAATTTGAATAAAGTACAGCGAAATAGATTTTTGATAGTAAACTTTTTATGATCCAATTAGAACTTGTTCGATAATTCTAAAAAAATTTTCCACAAAGACATAACTCGATGAACTATACAAAACTGGTCAGATCAGAATTTCTTGATTCTCAGATTCACGATAGATCTCGAGATTGCAGATTTCCAAAGGTCGATTCTTAATAACTTAATAACGGCACAAACGAACATCAGATTCGTGATCAACATTAAGAATTATTCTAGAAAAACTAGCTTTAATTAGAAAAGCTTTAGGTTATCTGGAAAGGGTTCCCTCATTAATCTATAATTTATTTTAACAACACGTAACCATTCATTTATTTTATTTATTCAGTTTTATTAACTAAACTTCAAAAATTAAGAAATAGAGTGAGTTTGATTCTTTAAGTTAGTTTCTTAGCCTACATTTGAATATCAATGTGATAAATTTGAACGAATTGTAGCTGATCTCTGAATTTTTTGAAGATGAAATGATGCTACCGCTAAACATTAAGAAAAATGTGTTTAAAACGCAAATTTGCTGACAGAAAAGATGTTTTTAAAACGGTTACACAGCCAAATACTTCACTTGATAATAATTGAATTCTTCTCGACGTTTTTTTTCAATGAATACTTAACTTGCTTTTTTTCTTTTCAGGAAGTGAACCAGATAATGACAGAACTGAAAATTTTAGAAATGTTTTAACTGATACCGAGACATCTGTTATTGGTACACCTATGTCCATTGATTTTGAATCACAAGAAGATTATGAAAAATGTGCAGACGATACAATTGAAGAACTTTGGAAAATATTTAAAGATACAGAAGGATGGTCTCTAGAATTAAAAAGTAGTGATGGAGAACACATTGTTGTATCAAAAATTTATCCCAAATGGTCTAAAGTATTTAAATTGACGGTAATAATGGCTTATAAACTATATTTATTAACGATGTTAAAGTATATTGATTGTTTTATAGAGTACAATAACGAGTTCACGTGAATGCTTAATCAATTTATTATTTGATAATCAAGAAACGATGCCAGAATGGAGTCCAACTGTAATTGACTGTCGAGTAAATAGTTTTTAGATTTTTTGTTTTATTCAAATAATAATTATTTACTTTCATTTGAAGATATTAGAAGTGGTTAATACCAATCTATTTATATCATATCAGCTAACATCAGAACAAGCGCATGGTGTTGTCGCTAAACGGTAATATTTTTTACTTTAATCAATCATTACGAACTATATAAATTATTTAATTCATTGTAGAGATTTTGTAAATTTGACAGTAAAACGATTTATCGATGATGTGGCTGTCTTAGGTGCACAGGCATGTCTTCATCCAAATGCTCCACCAAAAGATAATTGTGTTCGGTAATTGAAAAAAATTGAATTGATTTTCATTTCTTAATTTCTCACTCGTTTTAGGGGTGAGAATGGGCCAACTGCGTATATTATAGAGAAAATTGATAATTCAAATTCTAAATTTACGTGGATATTAAATGTTGATTTAAAAGTATGTATATATTTTCATTTTTGTCTTTTGCAAAAATTTTTTAAAGCAAAGTACTTTTAACACTTCTACAAATCTCTACCTCGTATACGAACCACCTTTAATAGCTATCAGAAATTGCATAAGGTCACGAATGTGTGATCTGATCCATTTTGATCTCAATAGCTATCATAATGAAAAAAAGTAAAAATTGTACACTAGAAATTGTTTCTTCTGATGAAATACCATTTTTAATTTTGATTATTGTTTTTAGGGTTGGTTACCACAATATATCATCAACCAATCATTAGCATCTGCTCAAATTGACGTAGTTGAATCATTACGAAAACGTGTATCTAAAAGAAACGATATTTCTTCGATACAAACAACAACGTCATCTTGATATTATGGCCATATAAAACAGTTGAATAATTTTTATATATTTTTTGTTTGAATAGATGTTGACATGAGGTTATCTATTTTCTGTATAATCATCAGTGAATTTTCAATGTGCCTTTTTTATTTTGTTATATTTTCGATAAAAAGTAAAAAAGGCAGCTGAAAAGAATCAAAGCCTCATTTGTTTCGTTGTATTATTTTATATAAATATACGTATATTTCTATTCTTCTGTAAAATTATTTTTGTCTACTCAACTAATATTGTTCAAAAACGTTTATGATTAATATTTTGTATCATTGTATAAATTTATTTTTTCAATCTAATAAAAAGAGTCAAGTTTATTTCATTAATTTTTACATTGACGTCTGTATAGTATTCCGACAATGACTGCTCACAAAAGGTCTCGAAGAAATGTCTGTTGATATTTCTTTGATCATAAACCAATATGTTCGCAAGGCTAAAAACAGGTAAGAAATTTCTAATAAGGAACATATATTGTTTAGATTAAATTTGTCAAATGTTGAAATGAACATTTAACATCAAAATCAGAAGAATCTGAGTTTAGAAGGACTCGCTGGCATCTCAACAGTAAATATGAACCAAGAATGTCCATATATGATTTATTTATCGAATTCATCACTTGTACAGAGGTGATATTCATCGATTTAATGGTCATATGGAGTGAGATTTTAATCAAGTAAATCGAGAAGGTCCAAGTGGGATGTTGCTAGCAAGCGAACTGTGTATGGTTCATAATTGATAGTCGTCAGTTAGGTCGTTACTATTGGAATAAATGTAAATAAATCATGCAAAACCTCAAATCTTTGGACATTTCTTCACTACTTCTAATTGTCAACATTTTCAATGTGTCATGTTATATCAAACTAATATATTTGCTAATTTAATTAGTAGTGGAACAATTAACTTCAATGATGCGAACCTGAAACAATCATGAAGATTTAGCTTTACTGTCGATCATAAATGTCGTTTATCTGAACTGAACTGAAAGTTATCTTACACAAAGGTAGGATATCACAAAAAAGTACCAAAACGACTTGTGCCATCCGAAGACACCCCATGATAACCTAAGTTAAAAATTTTCTAAGGAGAATCGGTTCTATTCACATTGTAAGAGAAAACATATGTGTGATACATTTTAAGAGAAAGAGCAGATCTAAAAATTATTGAAAGCCTAGATGATCTCTTAACATACCTTTAAATTTGGATAAAGAAGGCTGACATGCTAAGCCGAAGGAAGTTCATTCCATTCCCTTGAGCCACATGGAATGGAAGAGTCGGATGCAGATTTTAGCTTGAGACGAGAAATGAAAGCGCTATATAATGACTTAATCGAGAACTTTGATGGGTAGTTACCGGTGAGATCAAATCAAAAGATGAGAGAGAACTTTTATTATCGAATATTTTATGAAAATACAAAAGACGATAGTAAGGATGTCTATTAGAAAGTAGTTGAATTTTTAGATTTCTTGAGCAAAGAAAAACTATGTCTTGTGAAATAATTATACTAGCAGTAAGCTGAATTTTGTTCAAAATATTAATATGAGAGGTAAAGATTGAATCATAGATAATACAAACATATTCGAGCACTGGTCTTACACTGGTGTTATACAGATCGCCACGTAAGAACGAGGGCGATTCTCGAAAAATTCTCAAAATAGAGCTTAAACATTTGCCGAGATTTTGTTGAAACATACTCAATGTGAGAGATTTTCACGTTAAATTATGTGACATAATAACACCAAGTAGTTTGAGAGCTGAAACTCGCTTAATATTAATGTTTTTTATTGAAAGAGCGAGTGATGAAAATGCTTTTATAGAATTAGAAAATAAAATCCATTGACATTTGTTTATGTTTAATTTTACCGCATTTATATCACGCCAAAGACGAAGCTCATTGATACATTTTTGTCCTTCGAATATATTTGTGATGTAAAAGACACAGTCAGCAAAGAGACAAGAAAGAACAGAAGATCATTAATGAATACAAGAAATAAAATTGGGCCTGAAGTACTACCCTATGGTACACACGAGCCGAAAAAGAAAAAGATGATCCAACTTTTCGTGTACGATTAGAAAGATAAGACGAGAACCATTCAAGAAGAATTCCTGATATTCCTGTTTTAGACAGCTTTTGAAGAAGAATATGAAGTGGCACGGTATCGAAAGCCTTTTCAAAATCAAACGAAATGCCGTTTAACTTGTTTTTTTTCTTCTGACAAGTTCTGATTAATCTTATGTGAGAATGTCTACAGTTGACGTACTAGGACGAAATCCAAACTGAGTCGCATTAAAAAAGTTTGTTAAGGTTAGAAACGAAGACATCCAGCTATAAACAAGTTCCTCAAACACTTTGCTGACATTAGACAGTAATGAAATGGAACGGTAGTCCTTGACGAGTAACTTGCCACCTTTCCTATCTACTGCTCGTATAATAGCTTCTTTCGGAAAAACTCCAGTTGAGAGAGAAACAGAGAAAATATCATGAAAAACGCAGGTAACGCAGAGACATTTTTTAAACTTCGAACGGATGTATCTAGAGAATTGTAAGAGGGAAAGACTTGTAATTTCTAACAAATATGTAAATAAACAAATTCTGTAATATTAGTGAGCTATCGACAAAACATTAGGTAACGCAAAGACATAAATTTTCAAAAAAAAAATCCTAGATCTAAAATTTTATTTCGTATTTGAAAATATCGGTTTAGAACATCAAAGTAATGATCATTTGTGTATTTCAAGCTGCTACTACTGTTTTTGTATTAATAATATTTCCGTTTTTGTCTGAGATAAAATAGTGTTGGAAATATAATAGGTGACAAAAGAGCTTTTTCAAGCCATTTTTGCGCAAAAAGTGTTGAATTTTGACTGGTACCTAGCATTTCTTCTTGTAATTAATAAAACGAAATTAGATAGATCGACGTAGAATATACGAAAATCTACATAAAAACTTTAAATGAATAAGATCGCATGTTTTGTGTCCGTGAATTTGAGTGCTCAGCTTCAATCATGCTGATTGATCGTTAGCCGGACAGACTGATATGGTGTAATGCGGTGAAATGACATCTGCACAAAGTTTTAAAATTTTGACTGGAATTTGATTAGTACCTAAAGAAGTTTTGTTTTTTAAACTATTTATATCTCGAAAAATATCGGATACATTAATATGAGTTTTTGATAAACTTTGAGAAAATGATAAATAAGAGCTGATAAATGTTGATGATGAAGTAGAAGGTTGTGAAAAACTGGTTTGAAAGAATGAAGATAGTAACTCGGCTTTAGAAAAATGATCACTGTCTGTGGAAGAATTGTACTGTATACTGGAAAGTCTTCAATCATGATACTTTTTCAAAACCGCTTACTATTCGAGAAATCTTTCATGATAGATCTAAATAATCGTTCTTTATCAGCATGAATAGAACTAATAACAAGATTACGATACTTTTTATAAATATTAAATAATCGCGCAGGATGCTATTTTGATTTTAGAAAAGCTGAATTTCTTTTTTTTAGAAGAGAGCGAGTACGATATTTATCAAATAATACCGAAACATTTTCACGTAATTATAAGCTTAATCCAGGACTGAGATTCGTCTCAAAAATCCCGAAATTTTTTTAAAAAACTCGCGTAGAGTAGAAACTTTGGAAGACTTAATATTTCTTACTTTCAGGAAAAGGTAGAATGCGCTTATTTTAGTGCTAAGTTTGTAGTGGGTGTGGTTTATTAAAGATTGTTTTTTTACTTGAGCATTAACATACAAAAACAAATAAAGAGTACTTTTTTTTCTTACAACTGTGTTTTTCATATTCTCATGTTTTCTGTTTCATACTCTTATTTAATTTTTCTTCGCATTCTTTTCTTTATTTAAAATGTTGATTCAACGATTTTCTAACATTATCTAATTCTTCTGTTATGGTTTTTATTTGTTTGCTGACTTGTTTTGATTATAGAATGGGCAACAATAGTGCTGGCCATGTTCTCTTATTGGATTACTTTAGATAACCCATCACTATCTTCATCTAATATACCTTCAGCATCTACAAGTTTCTTTTGTAGTTCAGCTTCCTTGCTTAACAGATTCTTTTCATATTCATTCATTTTTTTCATCTCTTCTTCTCCTCCATTTGACTTCGTATTACTTGACGTTGTTGCCGCTACTGTTGATGCATTAATTTACGTTTTTCCTGACCAAATATCATTTTAGAGTGATGATATTGACCACACTTAAGCCACACATTACATTTTAATCCCAATGAATCTGTTCTTTCCAACCATGAATCAATAAAGTTCGTCTCGCGCAGAGGCATAGCAAACAGACTTTTTTAATATTTATTAATTTGAACTTTTTAGTAATAATTGTTAGGAGATAATATCGATTTTCTAACAGTTTATAGAAAGAGTGATGATAGGAAGAGAATGCACACATGCAAAAAACAGAACAGAAACGCATAAATATACATGTGTGTGTGTGTGAGTTTTTATCTTGACTACACTAGTAGCCAACTTTTTTCTCCGCTGGACGCCTTCCATATCAGCGCAAAGACCACAGTTACTAAGAGGGGAAGATTCGCAATTTTTCACACATGTAACTGTGAAGCAGATATGAAATGCGAAGGCCAAACTTCACTATATTCTGTCGTCCCAAAAAGGTTTTATACTACCCCGAAAATCCCAAATAAAATATATTCGACTTTGACTGTGACCCCTGGTTTAATCACCGTCGATCAGCGAATACCGTTATACCTATATCATATTCTTTTAGCAAGAGTTGCCATTTATTCTTTTAATGGAACATTTGATGATTGAAACTTATAATGCACAAATAATTCTACGTGGAGAATCTGATGGAACTGGTTTTAGATTTTTAGGATTCTTTAGATTTTCTACATTTCTAAGTTGGTTTCGATCTAAAGCGTTGGAATGCATCATATTAAATGTCCGGGGATTCTCTGGCCCTAAGAGCTTTTCAGTTTCTAAGTATTTTGAAAAGTTTTTCATCTCAAAACATCCATATTACGGTATTCCACAGCCTTTATAACGTATTTAGGGAATTTTATCATTCATACTAGACACGTGAGCGTTGCGATGTACTGCAACAAATGCATCATGTTCTCAAAAAGTCTTAGTAAAACATGATGCATGGGCCCGATGTATCTAAAGACTAAGGAATTTTCTAAAAAACTATCTAAGAAGTTAAACTCGATCAGACCTTCTTCATAGAATAAAATGCAGCAAAATCTTGATAAAATAGCCAAAATCGTAGCTTTTAATAGTTTTTCGATCAAATATCATATTTGAAAAGATAACACGACCATTTTAGTTTTCAATGCGTATTAGTACAAAGTATAAAGAAGTGCAAAGACAAACCATTTCTAGAGAACCCAAGAAACGGCATTTATCTCGTATATCTTTTGACTTTCAGACAGGGGAAAAACCTCATAACATGTTCTGAAACTTATTTATTTAGAAGCCAGTTAAACATAAATGGGTATAATTTCTTGGATACGATTCTACATACATTTTAAGCTTATGTTTTGGCGGCCACTTTGTGCCGATCTCTGGATATTTGAATCTGAAAGATTGAATAAATCTTGCATAAAACAAACACATGACATTATGTGGCACTCACTGCAGAGGGAAGAAAAGAAAAGGTTGTGTTGACTTTTCTTTTTACATGTAATTCAGAATGATAAAAAATAAAAAGCTTAATTTTTTAATTATCAAAGCCTTGTTATTTCAAATAAAGTTTATATTCATGATCTAGATGAAAATCTGAATCAAATTGTATTAAATTCGATTAGGTTCACTCATTTTTTTCATAGATCTCTGAATGAGAAACATACTTCCGTCGTATCATTTTCATTTTTTTCCTTTGGTTTGATATTCATCAATGGGAAAGTAATCGCATATTTTATAGATCCTTAATTATGGCAAATTATTTACGACTAAAAGAAGTCAACCGATTTAATACTATTGAAAGTATGCGAAAATCATTTGAATGATTTGATCATTGATTAAAACAATTAAACATTTACGGATGATCAAAATATAATGTTCCTATCTAAATATCATTCAAAATAAAAAAGCTTGTCAGCGTTGTCCTAGAAGGCAAAAATGTGAAAACTTTCTTCATACCATAATGAACAAAGTGAAGGGTATTGAACGAAGACCTATTCTCATTCAAATATATAGTAAATAGCTAACGTTACAAGCAAGGCCTTTTCACAAAAGAATAGAAAACAACGCTGGTTCCTGTCGAGAATTGTCAGTCATATATATTCACAAATATATAATCAATACTCACTAGTCTACCTATCGTTTCCCTTAAACCAAGTGAATGTTTAAGGATCCTAGTGAATGTACTTGACAATAGGTATCCGAGTACTTGCATTTTTCTTAGGTATCTATGCTGGTATCCTGCTATATGAATGTCATAGGTGCTTGAAGCTTTTTTAAGTAAATATTACTTGAAAGGTACCCAATTACTTGCGCTGGACGCAGCATAGGTACCAGATTTTTTCCCGTTCACCATTTTGTTTCGTGTTCAGGCATACATAAAAGAAAACATCATCATCATTATCATCGTTCGGCTGCGAACAATCGAGGTTTGCAGGCAACAACAATCTTGGACCAATTCTCTCTGTTCGCAGCAGCCTTTCTATTCTCGTCGACCGATGGTGGTGTATCGTTGTTAATTAGCCTCGCAATGTAAGCGCGATACATTAGACGGAAGCTACCCCGCTTGCACTTGCCATGACTCGGTTTCGGTGAGTAGAGAGCGTACGTGTTGATAAATTCCCTCGCATCTCTTCGAAGGCAATGACCGATGAATCGCAATTGGCGTCGTTGCATTGTTTGCACCAGAGGTTCTTATCCGGTCTTTTTCAGGTCAGACAGTGGCATTCGATATCTTGTCAAGACGCTTGATATTGAGTATTACTCTGTAGCAGCTGGTGGCAAAGCTGTTCAAACTGCTCTCGAGCTTGCAGGTGATGATCCAGCTCTCGCAGCCGTATAGGAGTATTGACAGACACGAGGCTTGAAGATGTTGATCTTGAGACGAGTTGGAATTGTCTTTGAGCGCCAGATATCTTTCATTTTCCAGAAGGCTCCCCAGGCTTGGCCTTTTCGCACTTTGATATCGGTCTCGCTGGACAACATCATTGAGCTGAGATATTTGAAGTTATCGACCCACTCGATTTCGTGTCGTCGAGTTTGATTGTGCCGTTGTTGCCGGTCTGGTTGGTCATCGCTTGCGTCTTCTGGATGTTGACTTGAAGGCCTACTTCGCTAGCGCGTTTGGCTGTTGAAACGAGCTGCGCTTGAGCTCTCTCGAGTGTACTTTCTAGAAGAGCTATGTCGTCGGCGAAGTCGAGATCGTTTATTGTTGCTGCTTTGTGCCGAGTGGACTGTCGCAGATTGTTGACGAAGCCATGCTCACCCTTTTCGTTCATGTGGTCCAGCTCAGCATTCCTCATGACGTAGTCGATCACGATGATGAAGAGGAAAGATGCTAGGGTGTCTCCTTGAAGGACGCCGGTCGTTACATCAAATTCTTCAGACAGATTACCTTCCACTAAGACTGCGCTACGAGAATTGTCAAAAGAAAACATTTGTTGATATGACGTGCGTTTTTATCTTCACACGATCACCTAAAATGGCTGGCCGTTTAGGTACCCGCTCAGTAATATTTTACTTGCAAGCACCTATGACATTTTTCCAGCAGAGTACCTAGCTCGTGTACCTATGTTCAAGTACAGGGTTGGCGAAAATGTTTTTCTAGGGGATAGAGCTCAAACTACAAATGATGTAGAATGAATTATATACCAAACTAATGCTCATCAAAAATGGGGTTGATGAATATAATAGATATTCCGTATGACGATCGTTGGGTGTAGAATTATGGAAGGTTCTATCGCGCGCGTCATAATGATTAAATTCTGGGTATAGTGGTGCTTTCGTAAAAGTCCCATAACTTCATCAAACCAAAACCTTTTTCGATCGGGTTCGTTTTATTTTGATCAAAAATGATTGCTTTTCTATTACTAACTGCAAAATTAAAACTTTGATCGTGTTTCCCTTTTCTTGCTTAGACACATTGTTAAAAACGGGGAGAAATTTTTGAAACTTCGTTCTCCAGCACAACATCTACTCTAAAAAAAATGTTTACAGACCACGAGAAAGAGCATATTCAAAAGTACAAAAGGCACTGAGTGCTCATTTTTGCTACACTTTTTACGGAAATAATAGCGGAAGAAAAAGCTCAAGTCGAAAAAAACACCAAACGTATAAAGTTTTCAGTTTTTCCGCCTTTCGTCACAGGATGAACGGAATGACTACAGACGTCATTCCGCTGCCCCACGGATGAGAAAGGTCTAGATGTCTGTATTCTTTACCATATATTTACACACAAGCCACCAACCTACTACTACTGTATGAAATTTCGTACAATATGGTTCCGCCGCGGATGCGAATTTTCCAGTGACATCCAAAACGACTCAGTACTTTCGACTTGCGCCGACAATCAAAAGCCATATCAATAACATGCTCATTTCATCTCAGATCATGCGAAACAAAAACTTCGAGACAACCAATAGAAGAAACAACGTTATTTAGGTTCAGTTGGTTACGAACAGAAAAAGGAAGATCGTTAATGAAAATAATAAATAAAAGAGGGTAAAGCACACTACTTTGTGGTACACTAAGAGAAACCGAAAGGGAAGAGGAGATAGTATCATTCTCATGCATACACTGTGCACGGTTGGAGAGGTAAGAAGAAAGAAAGTAAACAAACACTCACATCGCAACGGGACAGTTTTTCCAACAGAAAAGAATGAGAAAGACCAGAAATAAAATAAATTGGTTATATGATTCTTAAGGAGAAAATGAACCATTTGAATGAAAAGTAGAATCATTTTGGTCAGTCTTATTTTATTGACTGAAATACCTTTTCGGATTTTTTTATGTAAGGTAATACAGATGCATGAGATGACTGTTAGCAAAAGGTCTATATTAATATGACTGTATTCCAGTTGATTTTTCGCAAAAATTTTAACGAGACCAACAACAAACAAATTTTATCTTAAACAAAATGTTCATAAGAGTCATGTAGACTATAGTCTGTCTTAGGTGGCGCCCTCAATGAGGCAGCGAGAAATAAAAGGGGACATTTGCCATAATATAAAAGTACCTGCCTCTTTTGTACAGACAGAAAAAAATTTCTAGCTGAGCTTTACCTTGTATATTGGTTGATTGACCGTTTTTTAATGTTCCAAAAGTCCAATGGTTCATCGAGTGTGCTATGCACAAGTCAAACATAAGAATTTTCTTTGTTGTTCAAACTAACAAAGAGAAGTGAAGATGAATGCCCTTTAGTGCAAAACTGAGGCAAACTGGTAAACTCTAATCTATTGGGAATTTTAACGTAAAAACTCTCATGCATGAAAAGTGACTCATGTTTTACATCTTCACGCTTCTTATCAATGTTTGTTACTAGATGCTGTATTGAACTAAAAGTTGACTTCTAGCTCAAAGTTAACAGACTTCGCTTATCATGAAGTTTTACCAATAATTTTTTCCAACTTTCAGACACAAAGCAATTGTTTTATCATTCAGATAGTCTTCGTTTCTGTAACAATTTGAAAAAGTGTTAAAACATGGCGCCTGCACCACCACGAAACAACCGTACAACTGTGCGACGTTCAAAATCAGCACGTGCTGGTGTTTTATTTTCAGTGCCACGTTTTCATCGATATTTAAAAAAATCTAATCCAAAACAACGCGTTACAGTAGCTGCGAGTGTTTATTGTGTAAGTGAACTACAGCATTTTTTCGAAGTTTATGTATAGACTTCCACATTTATTACAGGCAGCTGTTATTGAATATTTAACTGCTGAAGTTTTAGAATTATCAGGAAATGCAGCAAAAGATCATAAAAAGGTATGATTTAGCTAATTTTTGGTCTTCATTTATATGAAAAATTTTCAATCATTATTTTAGCAACGTATAAATGCGAGACATATATTTTTGGCTGTTAGTATTGACGAAGAATTAAAAAAAGTATGTGTTCATATTATATTATTTGGATTCCAAATAGTAATTGTTTGGATCCGTTGCCACAGTATGGGGATGGGTGACCGCCTCTGAAGCCCAAGGTTATAAGCTATGTGGGTTGAACAGTAGAGGTACAACATATTATAGCAGTGCATAGGATGAGAAATTGAACACCTCAAGTTTACTTTTGAATAGTTTGGTCCAAAAGTTAAATTGATACTTTAAAATTTATAGTTTTAGCGTTCGGTCCCCACAACTGTATAGTGTTGTTTTGCGCTTTGCTTTCCTTCTGTTTTACCCTAGTCTCTCTCTCTCTTTCTAGTGCTATCGCGTAGCGTTGTCAGTGATACTATTTTGTGTAACTCCTATCGTCTAACCCATCGAAATGGTCTTTTAGGCAATGAATCGAAAAGAAAGCCTTTTATGTCTAGCGGTAAATGTTTCCATTCTAACCGTATCGATTAGCTCATAACAGCACTCACTATTATGGATATGATACTTTTTTTCTATTGATGCATTGAAACATCATTGAAATTTTTCTCCAACATAGGTCAAATATCAGTTTTTTGTTGTGAGTTCTTAAGATACGGATCGAAATTCAGTAGGTGCATTGCAGATGAAAGAAACACGTTCTATTAATGACGGCGAATAGATCTTTAACAGAGCGTTGATTTTTATTTAGTTACTTCATGGAGTTACAATTCCTCAGGGTGGTGTTTTACCGGTAAGCTTTGACTAACTGTGTTGTGCAATTTCATACAGATGATAATATTATTTTTATTTAGCATATTGATTCATTTTTATTGAAAAATAAATCAGCCAATGATGAACATGATGTTTCACAAAAAGTATCTAGACCACTTGCATTATCAACACCAGCAGCTGCAAAAGCGGCATCAGGCGGTTCTGTTACCGCAAAACAAGGTAATGATAATAGCTCATTTTTGCTTGTTGGATGATTGTAAAAATTCTATGCGTCCTTTCTAGGTAAATCAGGCGGTGCAAAAGCTAAAGATTCATCGACTGCTGCAACCTCAACAGCTGCACAAAAGAAAACTGCAACTGCTGGCATTGGTAATACAAATTCAACAGCTTAAACTGTCTTAAAGAAAAATCTGGGGTCGGTACTGCTACCATTTCCGTGTGTATTTTCTCTTCTCTTTCTCTATTTGTTTTTTTCTTTATTTGGAGTAGAAATAGTTGCTCGCCATTTGAGCAGTGTGTCTTTTTAAAATAAAAAATGATTTCCGTCAGTTTTTCTTGTTTAAAAGAAAGTCAAGCGTAGTTGTGCGCATTGCAGTTTTTGTTTGTTTGTGTATGTGTTCTAATTTCTCCGTTGTTGTGCTTTTCTTTTTCTTGATGTTAATACATTTTTCATTGATGGCTTCAGATTGTCATAATTGCCGCATCTGATGTTGGATAGAGAAATTAATTAAAAGCATCTGGAGAGAAAAAAATAAGCATAAAATATTACGGTATTCATTATTGTTTTTCGCTTATTTTCTTTGCGTATTGCTTGTTTTGTTTATTGTTTACCTTTCTTTAGCTCCTATCTATATAGTGCAATGTCTGGTAGTTTTTGTTTTCAAATCTGTAGTACCGACTGCATTTTTCTTCTTTTTACTCTCAGCATCTTTGTGTAAATAAAAAAAGTAGTAGCAAGTACTGTTTTCAAATAAATGGGTTGAAATAAACATTGAAATATGTGTGAGTAACAGGCTGCATCCACTAAGAAGGCAATATGCTTTCATTTCAAATATTTCTCCTGGTTCTTACACACCTCGTCTAAAACACTTTTACTTTTCAATAAATTCTATGTAAGTATTGAAACTTACTGTAACCTAGTTTGTTTGACTTGTATGGCTTCAAAATCAATCCATGAGTTTTACATATGGTAGGTTAAATATTATTTTCAATTTTTTCAGCCGTTCTTTAAACTTTGCTAGAAAAAGGTCATTATTTTTTAAAATACTGCATAAAATGTTTCATCGAAAACTATCTGACCTTTGTCACTGAACTATTCAAATTCAATGGCCCAGAAAATGCACAGTCGACGTTGCAACAATTAAAACTTGTCTTTAGTGTGTTGTAAGACTAGTGAGAATATGATACTACAGTATCAACTACGATCAATGGTGCTTCGTTTTACAAACAGGAAGCCATATTACGAGTAAACTTAAGTTGGTGATTTGTTTACTTTTTGTAAGTCGTTGATAACAGCGACAAACTAGCGATCAAAAATCCGAAAAATAACGAAATATTTATTCTCTAAACCTTAAAAAGTCGTTTTCGTCGAATCGTATCGTTAAATGGCTGAGCTATTCGAAAAAATGCGTCAATGACTTAAGTTTTCCGCGTTAACTTTAAAACTACATTTCCCATGACTTAAATTTTTCTGTAATACGGTAAAACTTAAGTCCAAAGTGTTAGTGACAAAGACTTAAGCCCAAACTTTAACTTAAAATAGACTTAAATTTTTTTGTAATACGGCCCCCAGTGCTACAGAACCACACTGTCCTTCTGATATTGATGAGCATGTTGGATTTCGTATGAAATGACTAATTCGAAGATTTTCTTTTGAATTTTTCGTTTCTGATGAATCGTACAACGTAAGTACATAAATAAATACTTTGATTCAGAGATTGATTGTTAACAAAAAAATCTAAAGAAAGCTAGAAGAGTTTACTGGGTACGGATAACAAAACAATATAAACAAAGCGAACAACAATTGATAAAATAGTAACAGAAGCTGCTTTTAGATTCATATTTATTAAAAATCAAAACATTTTTCATAAAAATAAAGTCGATGTTTCGAAAATTTTTATTTTTATTTTCATTTTCAAGACAATAGAGACGTTTAACGCGATGTAAAGTTAAAATGAAAATGATTGAATAAATATGAATCTAAAACCAACTGTTGTTATTATTTTATCAATTCCAAAATTTCTACCTCTGAACAAGTGTAATGTTGCGAAGAACAAATGTTTTCAATTTCGGAGTATATTGAGAGACAGATCAAAAGTTCTTCTTACATACGAACCAGAAGAACCTTTAAAATTTTCTTATTTAATTTTTCTTTAGTCAGCTAGAAAACCCAAAATCGGCAACTAATCGCGATTAGTCAGCGATGTTTTGAGAAATCGGGACTTTCAAAATAATCAATGCTTAATCGCGATATACAAAACAGTCGCCGATACGTTGCGCTTAAACGGCGACTTTTCCGAAAAGCGCGATAATCGCCGATTTGTAAACAACATTGAAGACATGGATTATGATATCGTATGTCAACCAGAGTTGTCAGATGGTTCGCATTTTACATTTCGCTTTCTGTAGTTTTTTCCGCAAAGTGTCTGCTGTCCGCAATTTGTCCGCTTTTCGAGGATTTGTTGTTTTTGTTCTTTTTCCTACAATGAAGATTTTTACATTTTCTCGTAAAAAGTTTGACGCCTTTGGCGGCTGAATGATCTGTCAAAAAAATGCTTTTGCAACTTTTATAAAACAGATGTGCACTATTTTAGGAACTAAATCACAAATATGCCCCGGAAGTGAGCGGTAACACAAAAACATTAGCTTGTCTCTAGTGCTGCTGAAAGGGAGTATGAAAAATAGTGAAATACTAAATCTTCAAGGAAGGTAACTCAGTCACAAAATCTTAACGATTAAGTGCTGTTGTAGGTGGGGAAGTTTCGAATTAAATTTTATCCTGCCATACATAACTCTTGAAATTTGTGACGGTTGATCAAACGCGCATCCACAAAAAATCAATAGCGGTTCAAATTGGGATTCTAATGATGTTTTGTGCCTCTTTTGTGTTTCGTAAGTGGAACCACCGTAAAGCGCTAGAAAATTTTTTTTGATAATCCTTTGCGTTTGGTGAAAAAGGTTTCCGCTTTTTTTCCGCATTTTGGAAAAAAATTCCGCTTTTCTGACCTAAGCATCTGGCAACTCTGATGCTAACTAAAAGCGAAAGTTGTTTTGTGGGTTATTTCTCTTATTGATAATTTTTGTTTCGTAATCTGAACACACACTTCGATTAACATGCAAACAAAAGAAATTTAATCAAGTATCTTGTTTTCTTTCATTCCTCAGCTATTGTGCTTTATCTGGTATGTGGTATCAAACGACGGTTTGGTTTAATCGATACATTACGCCATCTATTCGACTGCGGAGTTAAATAATAGGACCTTGGACATATGTCCATGGAAATATAACTTTTGATTGGACAAAATAAGGCAATAAAAGTATGATCGTCCGAAAACAGCTTTGCTCAAACGCAATTTTCAATTTTTTCAAGCTATTTTGATATTCTAATGAATATTTTTGAGAATGAATACTTTTTTGTAAATATCTCTGAAATAAAAATCTAATTTTCTTTCAACTTAAGATAGTTTTCTATCGAAAATTGCACAAATGAGTGAAAACAATAATAGTTTAAAACGGAACAATAATTTAAATTTATCACAAAAGTGTAAGTTCAATTTTTAATCGATAAAATCAATCTCCCAATCCAACATTTGTGCATTTTAATCTCAAAATAAGACAAAGTTATCTGACAGTTTTTAGAAATAATAAATAGAGAAGTTGTTCTCTGTTCATTCTGTATGTGTACGTAATTTCATTATATGTTTCTCCTTATTTAGCCAAATCACCACCAAGAGAGCGGCAGGAACCTTCGCCCACAGTTTCGACGCAAATACCATCACGGAGTCGTCAACTATGGAATTTAGCATTTGAAAATGTAATAGAAAATGTTTCACCGCGAAATGAAACGGACACAGGATGGACAAATCTTATACGGTAAGTTCAGTTTTCTTTTCTACTTTATAATATTTATTTTCACGTAGTTCTTTCGATATAATTCGCTAAAATAAACGAAACTTAGATGAACTTTCATTAATTTTCTAAAGGACATTTATGTTCTAAATGTAAAATTATGTTTAGATAAATTTCGATAATTAACGTTGTCGTGAATGTCTCAAGTAGCTAAAAATAGATAAAACTAGAAAAAAAAACACTTAATTCATAGAAGTGAAAATTCATAGAAGAAGAATATGATGGGTAATAATTAGATGGATTAAATCGAGTGAATCTTTCTGATAAAAATATATTTTGAGAATGTAAACTATATTTACCTGAATAACTTTTCAAAAATACATGATCATTAAAGTGTAATACTGGTAAAGTGACGCTGATGATATCATCAATATACCTCTTTCTTGTTTTACAAACGTAAAACATTATCAATTCTTATTTATTTATTAACTAGAGAATGTTTTTGCTCAATGGTTTTATTAGATCTATATGCTTATAGTATTTTAATAGACATTTAACTATTTATACTCATTTAAGTTTAATAAATTTTATCATCATCTTTCTCGTTAAGTTTTCTTTTTTTTACAACTATTAGCACTATAAAATTGTTAAAAAATAAAACGAATACTTCTCTGAATGTTCAAAAGCATATTTCTACTATATAAATGATTGGACTATTTTAATTTGTACTATTAGAAAAGATTTTTAGTTACTGTTTTTGATAGTCATACAGGAGAGAACAACAGAAAAAAAGTGGCGATATAAAGTGTTCGCTGTCTTCAATGGTAAACATTGTAGAAAAAGACGAACGAAAGAAAAACGAAGAAAGGAGAAAATAAAGATTTGTTATAAGAGACATTTTGTCATACTATTAATGCAGCAACACTTTTCTCGCTTTATTCTACTTCATTTTAGTTATCTAGGTAGTAGTAAACTGTTTTAAAGAGAAAAAAAAAATTATATAACAATTTTAATAGCAATAATTATTATTTTCCTATCCAAGCAGATTATTATTATTAGTCTTGATTATGTTTATATATTCTTATGAAATCCTTTTAATAATGTACTTAATCACACGTTTAGAGGAGTGAATAATCATCATTTTTTCTTCTTCTTCTTTTTCTTCTTCATTTCTTTCTCTTGTCTGTACAACGATCTCGTTTTTATTTTTACTTTATTATCATCCTACGGCGTATTTCAAGTCAAAATATATTAATGATGATTCGAGAAAAACACAAACAAATTTAGATATTGTCTACTTATTAGTTTCATAATTAATTAATAATACAAAAGATAAAAAATGTTTGAAATGGAGAATGAACAATCGTTTGACGATTCGAGCAGGCAAGTTATAAATTTAATATTGATAATAATATGATTATCTTAAAACAAATAAAAACAAATAGTACGCATGGATTATTCTTTGTATATAAATATCTTTTCTTTCGTACTTGAAGAACGATTTCAAGTAGACATACTTTTACCCAAAGTCAAATTCATAATATAAGTCACATCTCAAATCTTTTTTTTTTCTCTTTTTTTTCATATATATATATATATATATATATATAAATTCTTTATCGAACAAAACAACAAACAAAAAAAAAAATAATTTTTTTTTAAATAAGACACGTACAAAGATATGGATTGCATGAAGGTTTCGAACATAAAAATTGCTCTTTTTTCTTACATAAAGAAAAGTTTTATATGAGAAAAAAGAAAGAAATTAATTTTCGTTCATTTCTATATTTAACATTGAATTTTCTAAGCAAAATGAACGAATGAATAGACATTAAACAAAAACGAAATACTTATACTATATCTTCGTTATAAAAGGTACTTGCAAAAAAAAAACAATAATTTCTATCTTATGAACTATTTCATATATTCTATAAACTTTAAAGAGAATATAATCGAAAAAAGAATAATAAAAATGTGTCTGATAAGAGATACCTCACATGATTGTGTTGTACGTGGTTGAGTTGCGTGTAAATTATGAGATGATTTATTTTTTATTCATCATATATTAGATGTGTTACATGTTTGACATATTTCTCTTGAGAAGAAATGCCATGATTACGTCGAGTTACATTACATCATAAAAAAAAGAATCTTGATGAAATAATATTTTTTATCCAAATGAGTTAGTTTCTCTACTAATATTAAATAGACGATACTTAACGTACTAATCGTTGGATTTTTTGTTTGTTTTTGAAAATCAACTTCGATTTTTTTCCAAATGGATTCAAAGCGTGTGCACTCTATACCTCTTTTCTCTCGAAAAATAATTCAAAGCGAACGACAAATACGAAAAACAATTCATAGTTCTCTTCTTCTTTTTTTGTTTTTTTTTTTATTTTCGAAAATTGTTTTAGTCTCTCATCTACAAAATAGAAATATCTTAGGAATTTATTAAGACCAACAAAAAAAAAAAAAACAATTTATTCATGACAGTTGCGAAATGGCGAAGATATATTATCGGACAAAAAATAACGTATTCATGTATTGTTGATAGTAAACTATAGATAGACAAAATTAAGAAGATATAATGAGATAATTTCTATCTCATCATATTTATCATGAACAAGGTTATATTTTTTAACTATATTTGTTAATAAAACTAAGTATATTTAATATAAGTGAAAAAACAACGTAAAAAAGTCAAAGAATGTCAAAATACTTGTTAATAAAAGTGGAAAATAGTCGATAAATTGTAGTAACAGTTAATATAATTATATTAATCACTTTTATCAATAGAATATTTATTTTTTATATAAATCATCAGTAGAGTCAGATTTTCTTAGAAAAACAGAAAAAGAATATAATTAAATTATCTTAAATAATTTTAATAACTTTCAGCTATTCTTTTCTCATTCTTTCTTATTTTATACTATTTGTTGTTCAACTTTAGTAAACACGTTTTAAATTTATCAATTTGTTCAACTATCTATTCGTTTAAAATAAAATTTTTGCTAAATCTACGACATCAAATGGCTGTATATCAATGACATTAGTGTATCTGTCAGCCTTTAAGTATTGCGCACTACTTACATACATGTTTTTTCTTCTTCTATTATTGATGATAAAGTACTGATGATATTTTCATTCCTCACATATATATCTGTATTATTACGGGTAAAGAAATATACTTTTTTCTTTCTCTTTTCGATGCCGATCTATTATTACTTTTTTTCCATGGGAAAATCTTAGAATAGAGAACACGTCTCTTCCGTCGAGTATATATATAGTCTATAAGGAGAAAAAAAAAGAAGAAGAATTAAATTGCGAATATTAGTTGAACTTTCAATCTTTTCCAGTTCTACACTCATTATTATAATCTATGAGTTTAAATATAGGTATATCAGATATAGACACCTCTCAAACAATTGATTCTTGATTATTATTATTCCTATGATAAAAATAGAATAAATTTCATCAATTTTTTCTTCTTTATACTAATGACGAAGTCTAATTTAATTTGAAAAAATAATATTTTGTTTTTATGCTCAATAATCAAGTGGTAATAAATCATTGTTTTAAAAACATAAACATATTTTGTTTTCTGTACAATCAAATAACCTGTAAAATATTTCAAATAGTTGTACAAATCTTACTAATTAGAGAAAGATTTTGAAGTTAGAAATTTTATTTAAAAAAATCTAATAATTTAGTATATGAGCATTTAGTGAAACTAATTTCATAAGAAATGTTATGTTTACAAACTGGACGGTAGACAAAACAAGTTATAATAAAAATCAGAGGAAAAAGAGTGTTTATTCAATGATGCGTAACTTGTATTATTTATGTAAATAGAAAATCTAATTGAATGAAAAATTATGGTTTTGAGAAGAATATATCTTTCCTATGCCATATAATTGTTTCATAAAAGTAAATTAGACTCGTCTTGTATCTATCACCATCCGACAACGATATGTTATTACAGACATTGAAAAAACGTCATTTATCTCAGACACCTCCATTAACATGTGTAAGAAATATGTCATCAGTACGTACGCGACGAGCGGCGTCAGAACAAGTGAATCTTCATGATCGGTAAGATTCATATAGTGTATTGGTTTTTTTTGTTATCAGAAACATTTTCATATTATGTTAACACACTTCTGTGCTGAAGTGGTGACATTCATATTTTTTCTTCATTTGAATGTTCTTCTCATTTGAAATTGTTTAAAATCTACAGTATCGTGACTTGTTGGTAAAGATTGATTTTAATTGTCACTTTTTCGTGATGGAAAAGTAGTTTGAAATCTGTAAGCTGCTTTTCATAATTAATGTTGATAATCTCTCTTGCTTAAGATTTCAATTTCAATTAGTTAAAGTTAGAATTAAATGTCATTATATAGCCATGCTACTCTGTAAAAAAAATGGTTCTCTATCGAAGGTTCATACTTTTGAAACGAAGTCGAAATCTTTAAAGATTCTGTTGAAAAAAGGTTTCATGACAAACTCGTACTTTTTTATCCAGAAAAAAGATTCGGTAGCGGTCATTTATCCGAATCTTTTGTTTAATTTTTTGGACACTATTCTATTCAAGAGGCCATTCTAAGCTCAAAAGATAGAGACTTTCCTTCTGTAACAGAGATCGGCATGGGTCAGGCTTTTGGTCGAACCGGGCTGGGCTAGAAAGCTTTTAAGATCGGTTGGGCTGAGCCGAGGACTTCTCTTTCTTTCCAAGGGCACATGGTATACATACACATGGTAAAATACATTAATAAAACATGTTCGTGATGAATATTATAATATTTCTTTCTCTAATATGTAGCTGAATAAACAGGTTATCGAGTACATACAAAGATTGGAAAAAAACAATGCAAACGACCAACAATCTCGCTGTTTTTTTTACGAAGCCTTCTTGCATTCCTTAAATTAAATACGAAATCTTTCTTAGTTTCATACATTGAGCACAAAGCCTTTGGATCTACGAAGCTTCTACAGATTCAGTAAATAAACGCGAAACTATTAAAAGCTCAGAAATGATCCACAAAATCATTAAGATATAGTAAGGAACCATCTTTTTTTAGAGAGTACTCGTTTAACTCTAATTTAGATCTGACAATGTAATAATTACTATGCGTTCCAAAATACAAGACAGTCAGCCACTTTTTGAATAACTTTTGATAGGAATAAGATAGAGACCTGCGATTTTCGCTGTTCAATAGCCAAGACTTGAGCAGAACTTTCTACAAGCGGAAGCAACTTTTGAAAAAATTCCAGAGATCGGGTTTCTAGAGGATCTTTGGAAAACCAGCTCTGTTCTCAGAAAACTAACATACAATGTTAGTAATTTTTTTGCATGCGTAGATAGTCCGGACGTTACTCTACAAAATTATGCAAGTCCCGGCTCTCCAGCTGTCGTCGTTCGGGCAGGGCTCGCTTTCC